TCTTTCCTCCTTCTATCTCCTCTCTGTCTGCATAGCTTGCTTCCCTCTCCAACTCTTCCCAGGTCTTCCCTTCATCTTCCTCTGAGTCTTCATCTGAGTCTTCTTCCTCATCATCTTCAGATTCAACCAATGATTCACTGTCATCACCCTCATCATCTGATCCTGAGTCAGACTGCACATCTGAAGGCTCATACCCTTGGTCAGACTCTTGTGAGTTCTCAGACTCAGAATCACTGACTTCCATGTTTAAAAATTCCCATCCACCATCTTCAATGAACTTTTCTGGATCATCAGTAATAGTTTTCAGTATAGGCCGCCAATTCAAATTTAGTCTGCTCTCATAATACTTGAGGTCAGTTGTATTAAGCCACTCTTTGATGCCATCTAGTGATGTAGAAGGAATCGAGTCAATCCGAAGGACATCCCGCTTGAAGTCCTTGAATACAATAGTCATATCAAAATTCTTCTGCCCAAGACCAACTCTTTCCAGGTTAACTATCTCAATCTCACTTAGGGTGATCACCACGAAAGGAGTCTCTATTAGCTCAACCAGGCAGTTTGATGTTGGCACTATGAAGCAGAGGCTTTATGGGAACCCCATGGAAGCCAAGCTCTCTCATGGGCTGATCAAATTCAAGGTCGAGTGCTTTAAATTGGGGCTGTCCCCACAAATCATTAACCCGATTCACAAAGTTTTGGAAGTCCATGTTAATTTTATTCTTTCGGTCCCGTTCACGTTGCTCTTCCTCAATCTCATCAGGGTCATAGGCAGATCTCTTTCCACCTCCCAATGTCTGAACTATATCCATCACCTCAATATAAAATTGCACATCCTTGGTTTTCTTATTACCAACCATGATGTGATTATGTAAATGAAAGTGCACGAGAGTGATCATTTCCCGCTCTGCTGGCTGGAAAAAGGCATGCTTGATGTTTCCAAACATTACATCAACACGTTCATCAGGCCTTGAAGTAGAATACCTAAATCCATTTGTGTGTGCTTCTAGTGAACCTGTTAGCTTTCTTCCACGACCACCAAAAGGGGGACGAATCCATAGATCATGCAACTTAATTGGCTTGAACTTGGCTGATGCAAGCTGCAGCCTCTCCTGAGTAACTAAAGTTGCCCTCTCAGCCCTTTCAGACTCTCTAGAATTAACTTGCCGACGGAGTGTTTTAATCTGCTGCACAACTTCAATGATATGCCTTGAGTCCTTGGAGCGGAATGAAACCTCTTTCAGGTATATTGATCCCTGAAACTTGAGAGAATTTGCATCATGCGGACTGAAAGGGGTGCCAGGTACATTAAATATTATCCTGATATAGCTAGTACGGTTACTGTCCTGTTGGCTGGACACACTCTTCACTGTAGCCACATGGAAAGGGACCATGCTTCCATAAATTGGCAAGAGGATAGCTTCATTCTTCTGGTCAACCTGAATCATCAAATCCCTAGGAGGAGGCAGATCATTAACATTTTTATATGCAATCAAATCACCAACAGTCTTCACTGCACCACGATTATCTGCTGCCATAGCACCCCACCAGCAAGTCTCCTTGCAGTTCTTCGTTCTTCTGGCGAGCAAGTTCAGCCTGATGCTGCCTTCGTAGCTCTTCTTTAGACATTTCATGGTTGTCTGACCTGAGCGTTGTCTTGGAGAATAAGGTCTCATGACCATTATCCTCAGCTTTAACCTTCAACTTCTCTTCTTCGTCATCATCTTCATTGAATGAGTATGCCACATCTTTGACAGCTTTAGAACTTTTAGAAGTTAAGATATCTGGTACCTTGTCACCAACAATGACGGTATCTGCAAGCAACACTGAATATTTCTGAGTCCTGGGGTTGTTTGTCTGCGTCTGCAAGTTCTGAAAACCAAGTGACACATGAAAACCATCCCTGGTTTTAAGATTCGATCATTCTTAGCATTAAGGCTAAGCCCTGACTCACGAAACTCAAGGCCTATTCCAGTTCCCGCAGTTTTGGTCAAGTTTGCAGCCAATTCAGGAGCATCCTTCTCTACCACTGAGATTGCTGCTTGATAAACAGAGTTCACTCTGTTCCCAGATTTCAAAGCACCGATGGCTGCTTCTTGAGCTTTAAGGAGGACCTCATAAGCCTTACTTTGCGTGGCATTGGCATCAATCAGAAAGGTTCGAGCAATATTTGAACAGTAGCTGTTGTATCGAGACCCAAGTGCACATATAATTACACTGGTGGAGTCATAGTAAAGGTTCTCATCATTGCTTGAAGCACTTGGTTTTAGATCAAACACTCCACCACTCTGGAAAATAGGTGGGTAACAAATGTCAATGTTCTCTGCCTTCAATTTCACCTTAATTCGTGCTGGTTCCAATATAGTCTTCTCTGTATCATCCATCAGTGCAGAGTGGGAAACCTTCCTCTCCTCATCAATAACCTTCTCAAGTTTGGGCACCACAAATTGCCTCATAACAGATGAAGTCAAGAATGCAGCCTTTTTCACGTTTGTAAGCTCAGTTTCATCTTTGACAGCAAACAAATCAGAGAACCCATTTGTTACATCACTGAGTTCAAATTTTGCATTCTTTAACTTTTCATCCCATGTCTCCAAGAACTTTCCCTCAGGTGTCTCCCTTGATATCTGACCAACAACAGGTACATGATGATCACCAGAGTTTGTCTGAGAGTAGATAGCTCGAAAAATGCTATCCATTAGACCGGTTCCATCATCACCCTTCGCCTTCACATGAATAACAACTTCAACATCAACAGCTTCCCTGGCAGACTTCTTCACAACATCAAGCAAGGAGGCCTTTTTCTGGCTACACAAGAAATGGATCTGTTTCTTCAAGAAAACCATAATGGTCTCTGGGAATTCATAGCCAACCAACCAAATGTTTAGTGCTGAGGATTTCAAGTACCTCAGATCCTCTGAAACAGGAGGGGTTGCAATGGCAAGAGCATTAGAAGCGCCCATAGATCAGTACTGTGTTTATTCCAATGTGAATATAAAATTTTCAACCGCTTGCTGAAGTTATCCAGATTGATGGCATATGGGTTGGCAGCCACTGGTGGCTTGCCATTTGCAGGCTTGACATTTCTATTCCGGTTTTCAGCCATTGAGAATTACTCAAATACTGAACTTGAATCAAGGAGAGTAAAGCTTGTTGACGGTGACAGTCAGCCACAAACTGTGATAAACAACAAATAATTATCAGTTCCCATCTACTTCTCCATTTGGCAATAGTTCAACCCTGAATAGATATTCTCCAATTAGCTATATGCTACATGCACTTAAAATTATCAGAGCAAGGTATGCATAATAAGATTTATAGAAGGAAGTAGCAAAATCAAAGTCAAAAGTATGATCTTTGAAACCATTGACAAAGTGTACTACAACATAAAGACTGATGGGTGTCATCTTGCCAAGAGGAGTAGAATTACAAAAGAAAATTCTGCTTCATTTTTTATTTGCGGCTTGTCATTTACACCTGAGTTCTTCCACTGAATTAACTAATGCAACAAAGCAAATATTGGTATTATATTCAGCCTGTCTAAATTACCTAGTTGAGATCAAATCATATGCCAACTTTAGAGATTATTTTCTTTTTTATAAAGTTTTTCAGGCACTAAATAGAGCAATTTTCATGAAAAAAACAAAACTTACAGTTCTCTCTTTCCCCTTCAGCAGAAGCAGCAGCTCGTTATACCTGTATGAATCCTGATAAAACGAATTCTAAAATCATATCACCTTTGAATTCACCAGAACACAATAATTATAGAACAAAATTCAAACTCAAAATTTTAATGGGAAAAAATACCTGCCAGGCAAGGCCGTAGCTTTAGCAAATCCTCAATTTTCTGATAACAAAAGCTAAATTCCCAAAAAAAAAAAGGTTGATCCTTGGTTTCACTATCCATAAAGAGAAAAAATTGAAGTTAAATTGGGAAGCTTTATTGAACAAAACATGATTTTGAAAGAAGAAACAGGTACCTTACACACAAACAGGAATAATATTCAAATGAAAAGAAGATTGGTTTGATGTGAAGAAGGTCTCAGGATATCATATGAGTGAATGAAGAAGAAAACCAGAGAAAAGGAGAAGGAAGTGATGAGTTTTGGTTTTAGATGATGAAGGTGGATCGGATGCAGATGGATGGTATTTGGGTTTAGGCAAATAGAGAAAATGGATCAGATATGAGAGACAATTCTAAGGATAATAATTATTGTTACGAAATAGACTAATAATAGTATTAGATATAAAGAAAGGGAAGGATAATTGGCAATGGTGAAAAGATGGAGAAACAAAGAAGGAAAGGAAGAAAGAGAAGAAGCATATGAATTACTATAATTTCGTTTTGTTGGAAATAATATGTATCAAGGCCCTTTTGTAGTCACCCCCTCTGCTTATCCTTAGGTCAACCTTTTTTTTTTTTTTTTTTTTTTTTTTTCTTTAAAGGCACTTTAAATTTTACCTCAACTTATGTTGTTGTTGTTGATAAACTTAGGTTAAATATAATTTACATTAGATCATTTCCATCATTATGAAACACAAGAAGTATAGCAGTTATTAATGTGTGGTTATCTCTTATAATTTTCCTTTTTATGATAAAGAATTGGAATATTTATTAACTATTTACAAATATCATAAGTTCATATTTACTATAGCCACACTAAATCTATGCACACATGGTGAAATAATTGATGATTTATTATTAAGATAAAAAAAAAAAAAGGTTGTCCTTATCCATATATGAGAAATAAAGAGGGATCAATGAACTGATGATGAAATTGCATAGTAGTAATATACAATAAACAAGAGAGGATGAGAAGTAAAATTTACATTTGGTTTTGATTGAATAATAAGAAGGAATTAAATTAAAAGGAAAGATTGAAAAAGAGGGATGAAGAAATGGAGTGGAAAGATAAAAGTGAGGATGGCCTTATTTATTTAATTTGAGAGTGTAAGTGGAAACATAAAATAAAACTTGGGCCAATGTAATTTGGACAAAACAAGACAAGAGTACAAGATGGACAGGGCTTGGCTTAGGTTGATTTGGGCCATGGCCTTGTAAGTCTTCATTCAAAAGGAACATGGGGTTGGTCTTGCTTTTGGATCTCACCCTAGCCCAATTTAAGAATGTCTTTTTCAATTTTCTTTTCAATATCTCTAAAAAAGAAATATAATAATTTCTTAAGATGTTTTTGTACCTATAAGTAACCATTATCACTATTGTAACCCAAACAAAACAAAACAAACAAACAAACAAACAAACAAACAAACAAACAAACAAAAGGTAAGTAGAGTATGAAGAGTCAAAACGCAGAAAAAACCAATCCATATTCAACAATTTCAGTGATTAATTATTTATAATAATCACCCAAAAAAAAAAAAAAAAACACAACATAAATAATTAAAAATAAAATTATTCACTATAAATAAAAATACAGAACATAGATAGCTGAAGGAATATATGACCACCAAATTTCTTCAATCACACGTACAATTACAAATTACAAATTACAATTACAATACATTTTCTTTTCCCTCTTTAACGCTGGCAATCCTCGGTGCCTACATAACGTCAGCTCTTCTTACTTTCAATTTCTTTTTCAATTCATAGTATCAACCTCTGATCTCTTCTTTTAATTTTGTTTTTTGTTCTTGGTATAGATGATGAAACTTATTTTCTTTTTAAAAAAAAAATGGTTGATTCGTGTTGGTTTCTTTACGATCTTCTTGTGTTATCAGATTGGTCCGCATTAATCTTGAAATAAAAATATCAATTCTTTTGTGGTTAAATTTTCCTTTTAATCTTATTTATAGTTTTTATTTAAAAAATTACTTTTGATTAATTAAAATCATAAAGATGGTGTTTTTCTTTTTTGTTTCATCCTTCGTTAGAAATGATATCGATGTAATCTATTAAATTGGAAAAAATATTTTCTATGTTGCTGAATTTCTGATAAATCCTTAATCGTGAACTGTGTTTATATCCTGAAATCCCATACCATAAAAGTTGACAATTAGTGCTTATACTTAACGAAATTGCTCAAATTTTTTATGCTTCTTTTTATTTCGTATTTTAGCTTGTTAAGTCGGGTTAGCTCTTTTTGTCCTGATGAGATCATAAAAGGGCCTTTTTAGCTAGATTTGGAGATATCCTTATAAATACTATAAGATAAAAGATTTGTGCTTTGATGGATTCCAAACTGTTGTAGTCGTTTTTTTTTCTTTGGATTAAAAAAAAGGGTATCCGTTGAATTCTTTTTTGGTTTTGAAACTGGTTGGGTGATTTTTTGTAAAGATTTCTACATAGGTCGAAGAGCTCAGTTTGCTTGATTGTTTTTGGGTATATCTTGAGTTTGTTTGATTTTACACCTAACTTGGTAGTGCAGTTAATGATGGAGATTGTTTTAACATACTACTTTTATCTCCATTGAGTTTATTGACATCTTTTCCCCCTTTTGCGTTGTAGATAAATGATTGGCTTTTGAGGTCGAGAATTAACGGGATTAGGACAAAAGATTGTCCTAAAGATGGCTTCCGTGGACGTGGCGGGTACTTCGGGTTTAAGAAAATCTAGTGCTGCTGGTGTCGAGAAGTTACCTGAGGAGATGAATGACATGAAAATTAGAGATGACAAAGTATGCATTTCTTTGCCTGACAATTTTTTTCCTCTATCATTGGAATCCCCTGGTTTTGCATTTTTCTCATTGATTAATTTAATACTACCAAATATGCAGAAAAATAAAAATACCACTCATAGATCATCTGAAATTTGCAGGAAATGGAAGCAACGGTTGTGGATGGTAATGGGACAGAGACAGGACATATAATTGTGACAACTATTGGTGGTAGAAATGGTCAACCAAAACAGGTATTCTTCTTCTTCCTTGAGATTTGATTGCAATGAGTGAGCAGTACAAGTTTGTCTTTCTTTTGTCCCATTTTCTTTCATCACATGTCATCTTCTTCTCATATAACACTATGTGTGTAAAATTCCAGACAATTAGTTACATGGCTGAACGTGTGGTTGGACATGGATCATTTGGAGTTGTCTTCCAGGTAAGAAAACCTGTTGTTTGTTTCCTGAAAGGTGGTATAACTTACTAATCTTCATTTTGGGTTAGTAATGGATATTCGTTGGTTCTTTTAAATTTAGGCAAAGGTGCTTGGAGACAGGTGAAACTGTTGCCTATAAAAAAAGTTCTTTCAAGATAAGAGGTACAAGAACGTGAGCTGCAAACAATGCGTCTTCTTGACCACCCAAATGTTGTGCTTTGAAGCATTGCTTTTTTTCAACAACTGAAAAGGATGAACTTTATCTAATTTGGTACTTGAGTATGTACCTGAAACTGCTCATCGTGTGATCAAGCACTATAACAAGTTGAATCAAAGGATGCCATTGATATATGTGAAACTTTATACATACCAGGTGCAGTGTTGGTTTTTCAAAATGTGGTTGTTCTCGTGTTCTTTAAATTCAATCTTGGTGGAGATGCTAATAAAGGTTGATGTTTGGCAGATATTTAGGGCTTTGTCTTACATCCATCGCTGCATTGGTTTGTGTCATCGGGACATTAAACCTCAAAACCTTTTGGTATGTTCAAGTATCACTTTCTTTCGTAATATGATATCTCCTTGTTGGTTGATTATAGTAGTACCTGGTTTCTTTATCTGCAAAGTGAATGAACTTGTAAAGTCTCTTTGTTTTCTACATGATCTTGATGTCTTACACTTTCCTCCCTGCAGGTAAATCCTCATACTCATCAGGTTAAGCTATGTGATTTTGGAAGTGCGAAAGTCTTGGTACATTCTGATTTCTATTGTCTTCTACTTATTTGTTAAATTATCAATCATTGATTTTTGCTGACGTCTTACAATTTTATATTTTCTATCTTGGTAGGTGAAAGGGGAACCAAACATATCCTACATTTGTTCAAGGTATTATAGAGCACCTGAGCTAATATTTGGAGCAACTGAGTACACTACAGCTATTGACATCTGGTCTGTTGGCTGTGTCCTTGCTGAACTGTTACTTGGACAGGTAGGAAGCTTGTGCATGTTAGGTTCATGATTGTTATTATATCTTTAAATTTACCTTAGTGTTTTATATTAAATATTTTTTGTATTTATCTCAGCCTTTATTTCCTGGTGAGAGTGGAGTCGACCAGCTTGTTGAGATTATTAAGGTATTTCAATTTTTGACATAGTAGTTAGTGCAATGTCTATATATATATATATATATATAAATAGCTCAAAGACTTGAAATAAACCAAGAGGGGGTGAATTGGTTTATAATAAAATTTTCAAGATTCAATATCCAATAAGCACAAATTTTGCAAATAAATTTTTCTAAACAAATAAAAACAATAAATATGAGTATACTAATAATCTTAAAAGCAAGAGATAGAGATAGAAAATCAAACACCGAAATTTATACAAGTTCAGCCATTCCTTTAGGCACCTATGTGCTCTCCCTTAGCCTAATTTGCCAAGGAGTTCAATCCACTATGTGTTGAAAGTTACAACCTAGCTCTTTAAAGCTCTATACAATCAACACCACAATCTCTTACGGGTTATCCCCCCCTTAAGCTCACAACCTCACAATACAAACTTTTAAGTGTTTTGCAAACTCAAAGAACCTCTCTAAGTTTGGGTGTTTGCTAATTTGAAGTATAAAACAAGATTAATAAGAATATCAAGAGAAATTCTAATACAACAAGAATTTATGCACTTTTCTCACACTAAAATGCTCTTTAATGCTTGGAAAAGATGGTAGATGGAAGCAATAAGTTTTCTTGGCTTTTCCTACTCTTCAAATGTAGTAGGAAACCATCATTTATATGTTGAAAGAGGAAGATAGCTGTTGCTTGCATTTAATGCTTGAAACCTGCAAAATTTCAAATAATCGTTAGGGCTTTCTGGGCACCGGGGGATCGATCCTATCATATAAAGGATTGATTGGGTCAGTTAAAATCTTGTGCATTATCAGACTACCCGATCAATCATGTAAGGGACCTGATCGATCCCTTATCGCAGGTGGTCGATCCCTTGTGCAGAGGGTCAATCCTTTCTGCAAATTTTAAAACTTGTTTTGCTTTTGGATAAAAAATGGATCAATCCCTTTAAAGAGAGGATCGATTGGTTCATTTAGAAAACCTAGCCAATCAATCCCTACAGGGAGGGGATTGATTGATTTTTGAAAAACTTGCACGAGATAGGCTACTGGAAGAAAAATGGATCGATCCCTTTAGCTAGGGGATCGATCGGGTCATGTGAGGGGATTGATGCCTCCCTTTAGGGGATCGATCCCTTCTATCCTAAATTGTCCAAAAGTCCATTTTTGTTTCCAAAACATGTTTTGCTTTAATTCAAAAATAATTTTTGGCAAGACAGAAGGTTAGAAAAATGTTCAATTTGAGATAAAATAAATTTGATTCAAGTTAGGCAAATTTTTTGTTTCGTCAATTCAAAAACTTTTATCAATTCAAGGCTAACATATATATACACTATTTCAAGAATATCTTTTCTTTGTGGAATATGTTGATGGGAGGAAACATATTTTCTGCATGAGATGACATATTCATTGCCATACAAAATTGACATATTTATCATACTTTTGTTAACAATAATGTCATGAGATACTTGTGTCCCTTCTGGATGTGCCATTTGGTTGGTGTACTTGGGCTAATAACTTTGGTTGTAATACTTTTCCATTGTATGTGTCATGTTTGGTATCATAATCGCTTCTTAGTCACTTCTTTTAGTCATTTCCAATGTTAAATTGACTATTTCTCTCTAACAATGATAGTTGCGTGACTTTTTTCTAGGTCTTGGGCACTCCAACACGAGAGGAAATTAAGTGCATGAACCCTAATTATACAGAATTCAAATTCCCTCAGATTAAGGCTCACCCATGGCACAAGGTATTGAGAATCAAAGAAAGGGTGTGCAATTGGCTTTTGTTTCCATAACTTTATCATGCAATTATTATTATAATTATTATGGTTCTAGATATTCCATAGGCGTATGCCTCCTGAAGCTGTTGATTTGGTGTCAAGATTACTCCAATACTCTCCTAATCTCCGTTGCTCTGCTGTGAGTACATAAAATCTTTATTTTATTATGTTTCATGTTTTTCCTTTCTGCTTTTCTTTCAATTTGTCTTCTGTGGGACTTTTGGAGTAAACACCAAGCAGAGGTTCCTTCCTGATGTAAAAGGATGTTGACAATATCAGTTGGGGAAAAAGTCCTTAGGCTAGGTTAGTATTGTGTTTATCAACTCTTTCCTTAAGCAAGCAAGGAAGAGGAATGTTAATGTGTTCTTTTATCTTTTTTGCTTGTTTTTGTTTTTGTTTTAGGGTGGGGGAGGAGGGAGATGATAGAAGAGCTAAAATCGTGGTTACTTGCTGAGTTATATAATTCTTTGGTTTGCTTCATGCATCTCATTTTGCAAGTGTTGCTCGTGTTGCAGCTAGATGCCTTGATCCATCCTTTCTTTGATGAATTGCGTGATCTAAATGCCCGCTTGCCAAATGGACGTTCCCTTCCACCATTGTTTAACTTTAAATCACAAGGTAGGGAATATTCAGCAACAATTTTTTTTTTTTATCATAACCTTATTATTCTTGTTGAAATGTATGATTGATTATAATTGGTGGTGTTGTGTCCACTAGAACTGAAGGGTGTTCCGGCAGAGATTTTGGTGAAATTGATTCCGGAGCATGCAAGAAAGTAATGTCATTTTCTTGGATTGTGATTTGATGCAAAATGTAACCAACTAGCAAAAGTGTATTATCTTATGGAAGCTGTGTTTTTTTCTTTTTATATGCAAATTATTCTTGTTGTATTCACGTGTACGAGTTACCTATGTAAAAGCAGATTTAGACGTAATCCTCCTGCCCAAACTCCAAAACCTATTTCTATGTAACGCTACGGATTGTAACATCCGAGATAGATGGAAACCAACGTGTACTCTGATGTATTGTATGTAATCCGCGGGAAGGAAAGATCAGTGTTTAGTTGAGTGTTTATATGTTGTAGGCAGTTATTTAAGCGGGTTTCATAAGGACGACGCTCTGCCTGCTGTCTTATATTGTATTCCTTTTTGAGATGTGAAAGTAGGTTATGGATTCTTAACCATACTGGCCTTTTGGGCATTCTCTGGACTCTCCTGTGTTTTCTTGAATGGAAATTTGGATATCAAATAAAGTTACTCCACATTACATGAAATGGCCAAGGCGATTATTAGTCTCACCATTTTATCCTCCTTCCTCTGGGGCTGTGCTGTAATGAAGTGTTTTTTTTTTTTTTTTTGGCCTATATACGAGCAAATATGAGAGCGTGGGATTGCATCAATCAAAACAGAAAAAGAAGATCGACTGAGGGGAGTATCAAAACAGCGCTACCAGTTTTGATAATAAGTTGTGGGAGAGGTGCCTTTATTGTCGAGTATTTTCAGATAACATCCGGGTTAATTGTGATTATCTACCATTTAGTCTTTTGAAACTTGAACAGTAGAGGGTAAGATTTCCATGAAAGCAATACTCTAGTAGATGGAAGAAGATTAGAAACATTTATTAGCTTCTCAGTCTTCAACCAAAACTGAAAAAAGTGGCCGTCCTCGAACAAGATAGACGAGAACCAGCGAAAGGAAGAAGAATAATATGCCGCTGGGAAAGTATTATTGCGACTACTGTGGGAAGCAGTTCCAAGATACCCCTTCTGCTCGAAAACGCCACCTGCAGGGCCTCCAACACCTCCGTGCCAAAGCTCAATGGTTCCACTCCCTCAACGCCACCAATGGTATTTTCTATTTTGCCACCACTACCCCCTCCTTATTTATACCTATATGTCAACGATTATTTATTTATTTATTCATCAATGCCTGCCTTTGTGCCTTCTTTCTTCTCTGATTGGATCGCAGATCCCAATCACAGTTTTACTGAACCCTTTGCAAAAGGACTCTGCAATCGCTTCCTCAAAACGGTAAACAACCCTCTTTTCCCGCAAACTCTTCTGGGTTTACTTTATTAATTTAAATGGAGTTGTTCTTTTTTCCTCTTCAAGGGATTTTGCCAGTACGGCGATAACTGCAAATATTTCCATCCAAAGAAAGATTCGCCAACCACAAACCCTCAAGCTGCACCCGAACCAGCACCAGGTCTTTTCATTTTCAATTTTACCTCTTCATGTTAAGGAAAAAGGATGTTTACATCATCTTAGATGTTTTTGTGATAGAATCTGACGAGAGCAACAGCCATAATTCTAGTTTCAATGCTCCCAAGACCCTTCTCCTCTCAAGTGGGAACTCCACTCGGTGATCACCCTCTTTGTTTTTTTTGTGGTTCCTTCCTTCTGCTTATTCTTTTTATCTTGTTCTGATAAGCAGGTGGTGTGGAGGGAGCCGGTATGGGAATGACGTGGGGCAATCTGCCGCCATCCTTGAAGCCTCCTCCTGAGGGTGGATATCCGCCACTTCCCTTTGTGGATTGGGGATAAGTCTTTTGTTCTATTTAGGCACCAATTTTGTTAATTGCTACCGATATAGCTTCTGCTATATCTACTGTTACTTGTTCTACGGTGTCAAAGCTATCCTCATTATGTTTGTGTTAGTACATGTTAAATAAAACAATTACCTACTTTCTGTTTCCTTTGTTTTGTTCTCTTTTTGCACGTGATTGATTAATTCATTAAAAAAAAAAAAGAGAATCGTACAGCTGTAGAGGAATATAACAGGTCTCTTACTGTGGAGATGGGATAATGTCATCAATGCATCTTCTGATCATTTAGACTCCTTGTATGTACATCCTTGAAAAGAACAATCTTGCATTGAAACTTTTGGACCTAGGAATCTGACTCATTTTTACCTTGGATATATGATATATTCCTTCTCCTTGAGACTTCTTGCCATGTATTCAATGGTGTTTCCTACGGTGAATGCACCACCGTTTGCATCTGCAACTTGCTCTCCTCAGTCTTTTCATCTTTGTTTCATGTGTTCAACCACTCTACCTTTCATGAGCTAAAATATGCTTTAGCAAAATAAAGAAGATGGAGTTAAGTCCGGCAAACAGCATGCACATTGTGGACAAAATGAGTATTTCTGGGTGTATCCTCATGTGACTCAGGCTTCTCACTTCTCCAATCTATCCCACACGTAAGAATCACCTGGCAACTGTGGGTATCTGCAATCTGATGCAGTAAGAACTGATAGAGGTCAATGCATTCAATGCGTATTGGAAGGATTCGTCTAGTACATCCATATGTAGAACTTAATATCAGCCAACAAAACAAACACTTCGGAGGCAGACACCCAAGTGATGTCACAGTTAACACAGCAATTGCAGCTAGAGTTGGTACTGGTGCGAGGAATGTGATCATCATCCAAAATATGTCACACACGAGGTGAACATGAAGAGCATCATCCAATACATTAGGGATTGTAAAGCAGATTCTGTTGAAAATTCCTGCCACTCCATTCCCAATCGCTAAAACTGCATTTGTTCCCAAAAGAGCTATATTGAAGCATGCATGGTATAACTTCTTGTCTTGTAGCCTTTCAAGTTCAAAGTGTTGCATTGCAACTTGTAATTATTACCATTTTTCCAAGAATTTTAAAATTGTACATGTTTTCCCATTGTATATTTGTGGGCTACAAGTTGACAGTTTGAATACTGTACCCATTTATATACTATGATTTAGGTTTGGTCCTCAAGGAGTGAATACATTAGTTGAATCACCAAGCAGCTCAATGCATCATTATAAGAATTAATTACGAACACCCAGAATGTTATAGCTTTGCTAATATAATATGTAAGCATTTTGTTATTCAATCTGTTGATGAGTTAGGCTATGATAACTCTGTTTAAAAAGGAACATGAATCTCTTTATTTTATTTCTTCTCTTTTGTGGCAAACAATGTGAAATGCTCTAAACTCCCCAACTTGAGAACCTTCTGGATTTTAGAGATGTACGTTCTACAATACTATATGTATGGAAGTAGGTAGACGATTAATTTTATGTCAATGTTTAACCCACTTTGTTTTTGGACTGCAAATAAAAATGAAACCATTATACATTGTCCTCTCTTTCTTTCCTCATTCAATTTGAAAAATTGCAAGGGCTGAAGTGAAATTATTTAAGGATGCTAAAACTAGCCAGGTTATATCTCATCAGAGTCGGACGACAGGAACAATGAAGTGGGCACTTGGCAAAAAACTTATGTCACTTAGAGAAGCTAAGGGTCTGTCATCATGAAGGCTATTGGTCAGTAATGAAATCATTTTTGTAAAGCATCACAAAAGATGCTCTCTGTTGACCCAAAACAAGAAAGGAAAAAAAAAAAAAAAACTAAAAAAGACAATTGAGGACAGACAGAAATTAAAGAAGGAAGCTTTCTCAGCATGAAAATTTTAAAGGAGAAGACCAAGAAAGTCTATTCCATATCCAGAACCAAATGAGGTCTTTGATCCCAAAATGTGCTTAAACTTCAATTTATGAAATAAACAAATTGGGACCAGAGGGAGTGAATGAAACAAATAGCGAAAGCATGCACCGCTGATTATACTACCGCCCCATCTCATACTTCCACATTCTCTAGAAAGAGGCCAACCTCTATATGGAATGGAATTGGTCGGTTTCGTGCCACCATTATAATCCTAGTTGCAGATTGAGTTGACCACAAGTAAATGGAGCTTCCACTAAGAATTCCTACTTTCCTAGCGTATAATAGACTACATTGCAACTGATTCTTTCAGCTGCGATCTCTTTTCAAGTTGTTCTCTTGCTTCAAATGGTTAGTGGTCACATACTCAGCTCAACTCTTTTTACTTCTTTCAACTTCCCAAAAAACGTGGGGACCTTGCTTCTCTTTATCTTCATGATCATTGGGTGAGAAAGAAGTGACAAACTCTTTGAATGTCAAAAGTGAGAACTTGGTTACACCTAGTACATAGGCCAAACCTAGGATAGTAGGGCTCTGCTCTATAAATAGAGCATACTTTCATTACATCCCTCCTCATTCAAGCCAAAGCTACGCTCAAGATGCCCGTCCCTCAAGTTTTTCACTTGCTTTTCTCTATCTCTTCATGCTTCTTCTTTATTAACATTCAAAGCAGACATCATAGCCGAACAGAACTGGAACAATTCCACGTCGAATCTCACGTTTCTGTTCCACCTTCACCTGCACCTGAAGCTGCTGCCGCTAGTCCAAGTTACAATACAAAGTCTCCTAATAATCCTTCCAGTGTCTTCAATGTACTTGATTTTGGCGCTATTGGGGACGGTGTCACTGACGATACTCAAGCATTCAAGCTGGCCTGGGACATGGCTTGCCAAAATGAATCAGCCGTTCTCCTTGTTCCAGATGGCCATTCCTTCATGTTACAATCTACAATTTTTACAGGACCTTGTAAGACTGCTGTCCTCTTGTTTCAGGTAATAAACGATGCTAATTCTGTTTATCAATTAGGGTGTTGTGTAGTCATTCCAATTATGAGATTTAAAAAAGAAAAAAAAAAAAACAACTAATTTCAACCTTTGATTTCTTTGGATGGTTACGGGAAGATTGACGGAACCATAATGCCACCTGATGGACCTGACTGTTGGCCAAGAAATAGCAGCAAACGGCAATGGCTAGTCTTCTACAGAATCAATGGGATGGCAATGCAAGGTGGCGGCCTTATAGATGGCAGGGGAGAGAAATGGTGGAGTCTTCCCTGCAAGCCTCACAAAGTAATCCACTGACATGTTTGACATTTCTGTTACTTCATCATTACAGTCCATAACTAACGTCGTATATCTACTAAGCAGGGAAATAATGGAAAAACAATGCCTGGTCCCTGCGACACCCCAGTGGCAAGTACACAATTGAGACCTTTTCATCTGAAGTTAACTACTATCAACATTCAAAGAGATTTTATCCCAGGAATATAGGCTTGTAATTAAGTGGCTCTTCCTTGTTAAAAAGAAAAGACAAAAAAAAAACAAGTTTCTTTCTCTCATTTTCTGAAGTTTTATCATTGGGTTTGTTAATGCAGGCTATAAGGTTTTTCATGAGCTCTAACTTGACTGTTAAAGAACTTAAAATCAAGAATAGTCCCAAGTTCAATTTCAGGTTCGATGCCTGCCATGATGTTCGTATAGAATCATTAACTATCAAAGCACCAGCTCAAAGTCCCAACACAGATGGAATTCACATAGAGAACACAAATAATGTGCAAATATATAATTCCATCATATCCAACGGTAATTTTTCTTTATGCTTTTTGTAATTCTTGTGGTGTTATTATTTTCAAATAATTTCGATATTATATTTATGATTCTTTAGGTGATGATTGTGTATCAATTGGAGCTGGTTGCTATAATGTTAATATAAAGAACATAACTTGTGGTCCCAGTCATGGAATCAGGTATTGTAAACCGTTACTTTACTAGTTTCGTTAGAAAATTGTCATTCGAGTTTCTAAATGTATATATCAAACTTATTAGGCCAGCGGACGGAGGCTATATATGTCTCCATTCTTCAACTCATTAATTAGGTTCATTTCTAGACACTTATGGATCAAAAAGGTTTAGAGTTTCAAATGTTTAACATGACAAGATCACCCAATAAAAGCATTCTAGGTTGATATCTTCTAATTCTTATTGCAGTATTGGTAGTCTTGGGATCCATAATTCACGAGCCTGCGTTTCAAACGTCAGCGTTTCTGATTCAGTCATAAAGCATTCTGACAATGGCGTTCGCATTAAAACCTGGCAAGGCGGCTCAGGCTGTGTGTCCAAGGTTAAATTCTCTAACATCCGTGTGGATGCTGTTCGCAATCCTATTATCATAGATCAATATTATTGCCTCACCAGAAACTGCCGTAACCAAACAAGTGCAGTTGTGATCAATGACATTTCGTACAGTAACATTAAGGGTTCATATGATGTTAGAAGTCCACCAATGCGTTTTGCTTGTAGTGACTCAATTCCATGTACAAACCTTACACTCGCACAGGTAGAGCTGCTTCCGGCCCAAGGACAGATTGTGGCAAATCCATTTTGCTGGAACGCTTATGGAAATGTCCTGACAGAAACTATTCCACCAGTTTATTGCTTGATGGAGGAAATGCCACAAGTGATAACGCACAATTATGAGGATAGTTGTTGAATCAGATTATTATGTAAGGTTAATCAACTGTATCAACAATCCAGTGAATAGATCAAAAAAAAAAAAAGGATCTTGGGTTCTAAAAATTCAAGCCAGTGCTAATTAAGCAAAAAAAAACTTCTCTTTTTATGGGATTTCACACCGGCAGCTCCTTTCTTTCTTAATTAGTAAAAGTTTGAACCAATGCTGTGGCTACTATCTTTTACATGCCATCATGGGTGTAATGAGTAATTATTTACTTTATTGAATCAATATTGCAAAATTCAAAGGTGGAAGGTCGGTGCACGAGCTTATCTGATCAACCGACACCCATAGCCCATCATTCTCTCTCCCTCTCTACAAACACTTTAGGTTGCATTACATGAGATTGACTTGACGTGCACACTTAAAAAAAAAAAAAAAACATCTCTAATAATCAAGTTAATTTCTCATTAGAGTAGCTTAAAATATACAGTGATGCCGTGGAGTGCCTTTCCATCGGCTTGACATGGGAAGTAATTGAATGATGCAAATTAGCAGAAACAAATTCAAAGAAGCGGACAACCAAAGGGCAAACACTATAACTTAAAAAGAAATTCAAGTGTTCTGCACTGCTTCATGTACAATGGTTGACCTATACCAAATTACATGATTAATTTGAATAGACAAGATAACTCCACCAACATAGCATAGACAAGATAATAAGCCCTGACATTAAATTAATTAAGCTAGTTGCAACTTCATAATGTAGAAAAGATAAATTGTCTAGCAAGAAACTCGCTATAAGCATTGAGGGTGAAGGTGGAAATGAGTTTAGCGAAAGCAATGTTGAGTATGCAAAACCTCCCCTGAAATGTTAAAAGTCCAACCCTTATTTTAGTTTATGCACTACGTGAACAGATGGTTCAACCTTGTTTACAAAAACCTGACATTAGTCATTACTTAGAAAGATAACAGAGAGCAGAAACGCAGTTGCACAACCTTGGGGGTTAGAACAAGAGAAAGAAGATGGACTCTGAAGTTGAGAAGTATTAGGGAATGTTCTGGTAATGGAAACAAACAGGAATTTATTCACATATTAACACGAAGATTCTGAGAAATTTTCAAGCACCAGAGGAAGTATTTAGAGAAACAAAAGAAATACATAAGATGTACGTGCGGAAATACATTTTTTTCATTCACATAAGCTAATCCTTTTATTAAAGCATTTCAATGAACATGCATCCTTCCATCCACCCTCACGTACATGGTCAACACGCAACAACAGTACAATCATATCAATTCCTGGACATAAAGACGAGTGTGCACTGTATGTTACTGACATAAAGAAGCAAGTACCTCCAACAAGGAAGTAGCAAATTTCATTTGGGTCTCCTCATCTATGGTCAAGAAAAGAGGGACATGCACAAAGAGTGATTTGGTCCCATTCTGCTCTGCAAAGCGAAGGGAGTGATAGTAAACATAATTGCACACAAACCGTCCTGCATCATCAGAGGTCATCACCTCAAATCCCTTCTTTGCTAAGGCCTTTGTAATCTCCTCAACAGGAAGAGAAGTCTGCACAGAGGTAACGGAGGAAACTCTTTACAGGATGGAGGCAAGAGATGAAAGAATATAGTATCAGATGTAATTTTAACCATGCTAAGCAACAAAGACAACCATAGTACCTCTCGTACACGAGAAATCCCACCATCTGCGGGAATAATGGGTTCTTTCTGCAAAAAGTACAGAATGTTTAACAAAAGGAAGACAGCTTGAGAAGAAAGAGGCATGCCAAATTGCACATGCACCATGAAAGGGGCAAAGGGATAAATCTAACCTGAGGTTTCCATCCCATCTCATCAGGGCAACGAAAAGTAGCTTCATTCACAGCTTGATGCTCAATAGCAAATCTACTTGCACCACTATTGACTCCAAAATGTAGCTGAAGAAATATTGTAAGAATGGGCAAGAAATATGAGCTTGAATTTTTAAGGCAATGAGTTTGATTGCACCAAAGACAAGTAATTAAGATAACATCTGTTGACAAAATCCCTACTAAACAATGCATAAAAATTGGCCTTAGTTATTGCAAGTGTGCTTTGTTCAAGTATTTAAGGTAGCAAATAAAGTACAAAGCAGATGGCTGGAAAGAAATGGCCCATCTCAGCTTTACCAGATTGACTAATCATAGATCCCATAACATGCATTTTTACCATGGATTTTAGCTGGGATATTATCCACATCACATTATTTGAGATTTTACCCTTTTCACTTTTGACACTTTTTTGAGAATAGAGGAAAGGCGATGGACTCTGTGAGAGTTATAATCACAATAATAGGACCCTTTGTATGCATAAAACAGGTAGCAGAAAAGGCTCCAGCCTTCTTCATGCAAAGCTAAAATGAATTATTCCATAAATTATTGATGATTCATTGCTGCAAGTGTGCTATAACAAGAGAATTCCAAAAACATGAACAGGATGCACTTTCTGCCCTCCAGCGTTTACCAAGGCAGCCATGAAGTTGATATGAATGCATGAAAGTAAGCAATTACTACACTATAGAAAGTAACTAACCCAAATAATTCTCCCAGAACTTGAAGAATCAGAATCCTTCCTGGTTGAGGCAGATTGCAATGTCTGATATAGTGGAGTGAGTGCTCCCTTTCCTGCAGTCTCAAGAACACTGCAACTGCTGAGAATAACACCTTTTGGTAAACCTTTCTTTTTTGTATACTCTTTTAAATTATTAACAATTGTTTCAGTTGGATTCTCTGAAACTCCATGAAATTTCTTAAAACCAGTCACATGGATGGTTACTGCTGCTGGCCCTTCAGACCCCATCAATTAACTATTCGGATGATAGTGACAATGTATTATAGCATGAAATTTGATATAGTTATCTAAGTACCTGCATCAAGCAACATAGAACATAAGTAACACAACCAGGGACTTATAAGCTTGATGAAACAGGAAACTGGAACCTTCTCCCAGTTTCAAAATTGAGAACTTTCATGGTTAACAAATTTAGACTTCGTTGCCCCTATCGTTTCGCCAACCATATGTAATTCTCAATAACGATTAAGCTGTAATTAAAAATTATCAAAAGATGGTAACAGGGAAATGAGAGCTCAATTTTAGCTTCAATATGTTGACATCAACTGGCCTTCCTAAGAATAAATATATTTAGCCACTAAAATTATGATGAGTTGATGACTAATTCATTCCTTCTGTTTTCCAAAAGACAATACTCCATAAAACTATTGTAACTTAATAATAAAAGCTTCAAAAACCCAATTTTTTTAAAGCCTTGAAAGCAAACAGATACAAGAAAAGAAGAGAGTGACTATTCACGAATCTGCAGAAAGGAACAAGCTGAGAACAAAGCTAAAACAATTGGGAGAGCAAAAGACCATAATCCACTTCCAAAACCATCGATTAAGAATCTGTGAAAATAAAATCAGATAATCCAATCCAAGACCAATCAAATTAACAGGAAACTATACGATTGAGAATCCAATCTAAGACCAATCAGTGCTTAAAAACCAATCCAAGATAGAAAATTGATCAAATACCCAGACGGACAAAGACATGAAAAAAAAAAAAAAAAAACCAGAACTCTACCTTGAAAGCAAAGGCCAGAGATTACAACATGGGATATGAAGAAAATGACCAAAAAAGAATAAAGAAGTTTTGCTCACCTGCAATGTTGACGAATAAAAGGCCAGATAAGACAAATGAAATGACTCAACTACCAGTCTTATCTAATCTAAAGTTGATTTAAATACAAAGGCTAAACTGATGATAAAGATTCCCACTTGATTAAAGAAAGAGAAAAAAAAAAAAAGAAATTCTACTACTATGTATATGTATCTATCTACATATGTTTTGGCTTAGTTTATGAAACGTGAGAGCTTGTGGGGGGTCACTTTCAAAGAAGAAAAACTGCATCTACTTTGTCTTCGACTGCCTGCCCTAGTGTCCAAGACACTCTCCTCCTCCTTATGTAAGACTCTATCCCTCTTGAATGATAAAAAAAAAAAAAAAAAAAACTGCATATACTTTGTATTTATGTTACTGCTATTATTACCTGGAGAGTGGAGTACAATAAACCAGGTTTGTTGATCAGATTTTGATGGACTCCTGATGCAGATGGCCACCGTTTATCATTCATGGATCTAGTCAAGCTACGCAGGCTCTTAGTTTAAGTTACACGATTGGGTTACATTCTATTATTATACATGGCATATGATTTTTTTTAAATTTAAAATAAATAAATTTTTTAATTTTTTAAATTAAAATAAAATATATCATATTTGATAAATTAAAATAAATAAAAATAAATAATCATCAATAAAATTTAAATTTAAAATTTTTTTATAAAACAAAATAAATTTTAATAAATTAAATCAGTTCTGAGACATTACATTTGACTTTGTAAACTATAAAAAGGAAAAAAGAAAAAGAACCATACCTCCCATCTCTGTCTTGTCTCGTGTTTTATAGCCAATGGTGTTGTCGTTCAGTTTGCACTTTGCTGTGCATGGTTTTGGCTTATGTTTGGTTTTTATCATCGAAGAAAATTTATGGTACTTATTTTTGGGCCGGAGAAATATTATATTTCCTTTTATTTTATGTCAGCAATAGTATTACTTTTGTACTGATTTTGCTTGACTGGCATGTATGTGGATATGGGTGATTTTTTTTTCTCTGCCTTTGGGCTTTGGAAACCATGGCCGGCGCACCTTGAAGGAAAAACGTAGTTGTTTACTTGTGTCTTGCCCTGCCTGCCTTCCTGCCTTAAAGAAGGAATTCCTCCCGTTCAAATAATATATAAATATATATATATATATATATATATTTATATCCTCTTTACGATACAGTGGGCAAGCAAAAAGAGATTGGGCTGTCAACAAAATGGACTTTGGAAGACAAATTGGACATGTCGTTTAGGTTTGGAGCAGTTGGAGACGATCTGGGCTTTTTGGTCTTGGATCTATGAAGAAGAGATTTAGCTGTCAACAAGAAGCCCAATTCCTGGACTCAAGTACTCAACTCCAAACCCTTGTTACAGCCACGTTGGGCAAGCGTTGCATTCTCCCTTGGACTTTGAGTTTGCGTATAACAACGTAGCGAGACTGAGACACAGATGAACCAAGCAGCACCAGACAAGACACAACAACTCCTCCCTTACTGCTGATCTCCGTAAACATTGATTTATGTCGTCCTATTCGCTCTAACCCTCTCGAGCAAAACCGTTGATTTCGCTTGCTTACTCCTTTCACAGGCTTTTATCTTCTGCATCCAAAACTATTCCATTCATAGTTGCACCTTGACCTTGCCTTGGAGCTTTATACTACAACCTTAAAGACCCCGAACACAAGCTGAATCTAAACAAGGAAGAAGGATGGCTGTTTCATTTTCACATATTTCGATACCCTTCCAAGAATCTTCAATTGCTCGATCGATTTCTCTCCTCCCTGTAAGCTTCTACATTCCCTTCCCATGTAACTTGCTTGTTTCTTGTACTGGAAAGCGTATACAGTTCTGATTCTCTCTCTCTCTCTCTCCTAAAATTTATCACTAGCCTTATGCAAATACTAATTTTATTTATTACTTGAGAATCTAGATATGAATTAAGGTTTTAGTTGTTGGGAATCGAGAGGTCAGATTAAACAAAAGGATAAAAAATTTTTGTATGCTTTTCTGTTGTCTCTCTTTCTTAATGGCTACTCATTTCAATTCTATATTACCCTCAACTGGATATGACCTTCTGTAAATTTTTCAGCCAAAAAATGCCTGCTTCACTTGAATTTTAACTTGGCATAGATAACATATTCTATCCAACTTTTGGATTGCTTAAAAATTTAAGCACATGGAAAGTTTTTGAATTGCGTAGAAATTGATATTTTAGGATTGACAGAACTTGATCCTGCCTTCAATTTTTTTTTTTTTTTCATGTCCATATATATGCAAGTTGATATAAATACACAGTCAGTGGCTAAGACAGTTAAGAATTACAGGTGAAATGGGTTTTTGTATACCATTAGATTTTACAATATTATTTTGAATTATTTTTGTTAGAGAAAGGATTTCAGTATGTAAGAGTCAACATCCAATAAGTTGATTATGTTGTATGTAGTATGCAGCCAACAACTTCCATTTATTGGGAGGTAGTCCATTTGTGCTCTATGGAGGAGCTGGCAATTTCTGCTGGAGGTTTCATGATTTGAAACGACCGATACTTAAGAGGCCGAACATTCAGCAGCGAAATAGAAAGCATGTACCTATAAATGAGCTCATAAGCATAAGAAATCAAAACAATGATCAGTCAGAAAATCCTTCAAGAAATTTAGCAAATGATGAACAATTTTCTGAAGCAGCATCAACAATGTTTCCTAATGGTTAGTAAAAGATGAAGCTACACTTTATTAATTCTGTTTCTTGAAGTTGGTTTCTTTCATCATATATACGATTTTTTTTTTTTTTGTTAGTCCCTTTCTGATCCTTTCAACATTGAATATTTGTAGATTCTACCGAAGAACAGACAAGAGCAACTTCACATCGAAAGAAAAGTTCTATGCCTAATTCTCAACCTGGAATCTTGGAAAAGGCACGCACTTCCTTGGAATCACCTTCCTCTTTTGTTCGGACACATTCCTCAAATTTGAGTGTTGATGATCATCATAGAGGACCCTCTCTATCTATTGCTGTTATAGGAGCTACTGGTGAACTGGCTAGGAAGAAGATATTCCCAGCATTATTTGCTCTATATTACAGTGGTTTTCTTCCTGAGGTAGATCTACTCTAATAGCTAACGAGTTGGATTTCCTATTATCAGATACCCCACTCATTTCTTGTGGATTTTTTTCTGTTCACATCATTAGGCTCATAATTGGATTTTGGAGCCCATCCAGACATAGGTCTCCTTGTATTAAATGGAAAAGATACATCAATACAATGAATTTAAGTTCTTTCTTTCCCATGTATTACAATATCTGGGCATGTTGTAAATTGTAATGTGGTGATGATGAGTGTTTCTCATTCTTCACTTTATCATTTACATTACTGCAGAATATAGGTATCTTTGGTTATTCCAGAAAGAATTTGACAGATGAAGACTTAAGATCCCTCATTGCTTCAACTTTGACTTGCCGCATTGATCATCAGTATGGTCCTTATTCATATTACAATACTTCCCCTCTTTGAAATCCTTATCTTCAATTTCTAATCCCTGTATTATAAAGATTCCATAATTTTCAAAAGGAATTTGCTTTTTAGAGCTGCATTACGTAGTTCATTCCAGATTGGAAAGGTTTCAGAAGGTGATAGGAAGGAGAAGGGTGAACTGATGGAAGATGATGCACTATCTGTCAACTAATGGCAAGGAAGGAGTTTCCATCAACTTGCTAGTTTTTGTTTATTTCTTCATTCTTTTTTGATGGATCAGGCAGTTGCCCAAATGCTTATATTTCACCGGAAACTTACTTAATGATGAGCAACACATGCATAGTGGAGTTATACTAAATACAATTTCAAAAAGAGTTAGTTTGTTATGTCTAAAGATGGCAGTATTTAGCCATGCACAGGATTGTAAATGCTTAAAGCCCACAAACTTGTTTCGGGTTTCAACAAACCAATTTGTTGTTCAGAAAATTATAATTGCATTTTTGTTCACGCTATACTGCATTAATCATCAACAATTTAGTGGTCCTTTCTTTTTTTTTCCCTTATCCATTTCTTGTAATTTCCTTCCCCAGGCAAAACTGTGGTGACAAGATGGATGCCTTTCTTAGTAGAACGTACTACCTTAATGGAGGTTATGACAACAAAGAAGGGATGTCAAAGCTGAATGCTCTAATGGAGCAGATTGAGGTAAGCAATGCTAAAACTGTAAGTTTTCAGTGTAGATGCATTTTGTTTGACCTTATAATCTTCAAACTGGATGCTTTGGAATTTTGATAATTGATTCTTTAACAGCTTACTTACTTCAGGGGGGATATCGAGCAAACAGGATATTCTATCTTTCCGTTCCACAAGAAGCACTTCTGGACGTTGCTTCCTCCCTTGCAGATAATGCCCAAACAAAGAAGGGTTGGAATCGTATAATAATTGAGAAACCTTTTGGTTTTGATGCTTTATCTTCGCAACAATTTACAAAATCCCTTCTTTCTAAGTTTAAGGAGAAGCAAATTTACAGGTGCATATGCATGTTTTTTAATCCTTCTATGTTAACAAACTGTTCAATCCATTATCACATAATTTATATGTATTTGTTACTTTGCAAGTTAAATCAATCTTATTACAGGATAGACCATCTCCTTGGGAGGAACCTTATTGAAAACCTCACCGTATTAAGGTTTTCAAATCTAGTTTTTGAGCCATTATGGAGTCGGACATACATCCGTAATGTGCAGGTAAACTTGGTTTCGATATAAATGCTTTTACTCCAGATGTGCTTTTAGGAACAGACCTCATGTTCATTACATCTTTGTATTGTTTTTGCAGGTGATTTTATCAGAGGACATGAGTATGCAGATTGGAAGGTACTCGTATTAGTTTTTCCTTCCTTTCTCTCCTGTAAACAATTTTACGTCATCCTATTTATTCCATTCCTTCTTTTTTTTGGCTGCATTCCATTCCTTTTTTTATACAGGTATTTTGATGGTTATGGGGTCATTCGGGACATTGTTCACAGTCACATGCTTCAGACAATAGCATTGCTAGCCATGGAACCACCTATAAGTCTTGATGGTGAAGATATTCGAAATGAAAAGGTAGAAATCTTTTATTGTGCGAGAAGCAAAATTTCAAAGAAGCTAGTGTTTTTAATGAGAAGCTTCTTTATAGGTCAAGGTTCTTAGATCAATTCGCAAATTGGAACTTAGTGATGTGATTCTTGGCCAGTATAAAGCTACTTCTGCAGACAAACTTAATGTGAGCTTGTGCAGCCTGACCCCTACCTTTTTTGCTGCTGCATTATACATTGACAATGCACGTTGGGACGGTGTACCTTTCTTAATCAAAGCTGGTGTGGGACTCATCAAACACAGGTGATATTTATGAAATACTATGTTCTCTTTTTTTTTTATGGAACAAATAGTACTGTTCTATGACAATACCAAAATATATGAAAATTTCAGGGCTTTTTACAATGCAATAAAAACCTACAGGTAACATAAATTAAAAAATGCTTATCTCTAAAGTGGAAATCCTTTTACAATGGAAAATTATGATTTGCCATGTTAGTGTGATTCCTGACTGAAATGAATGTTAATTCTCTAGTGGTTTCTGAAGAGACTTTTGTGAAGGAGCAATGTACGTGATGTAAAAACGATAGTACTTCAATAAAGATAGAATAAATTACCAATTTTATTAAGTTTCAGAATAAATTACCAATTTTAATAAGTTTCACTATAAAGCTTCGCTAGTTGATGAATTCTATATTTGAAAAATGAATTGAATCTGGGAGTCTATGGGATTTGTGGATGTATGCATGCAGATGATCTTTGCCAATATTTGATTGTTGCTGTTTCTAGGAGCTAATGCTTAGTGTTTATATATTGACTTAATGCTTAATGTTTATATATTGACTTTTTAACCTGCCAACCAACGTGAGCTTATTAATGCAGAGTGGAGATACGTATACAGTTTAATCGTGTTCCTGGAAATCTCTATCGTGAGTGTATTGGGCATAATACAGACCTTGCTACTAATGAGCTTATTTTGCGTGATGTACCTGATGAGGCCATCCTAGTCAAAATCAATAACAAAATTCCAGGACTAGGATTGCAGTTAGACGCTTCTGAGCTAAATTTGCTTTACAAGGACAAGTGAGCACTCATGTTTTTTACTTAACTTTTCACACTGAGATTAACATACTCATCTTTTGATGTTTCTCATGCTGTGTTAATACTAAAGGTATAACGTTGAGGTGCCTGATTCATATGAGCATCTTCTGCTCGATGTCATGGATGGTGATAACCATCTCTTCTTGAGAAGTGATGAGCTTGCAGCTGCATGGAGTATTCTCACACCTGTTCTGCAAGAGGTAGACCAGAATAATATAGCACCAGAGCTGTACGAGCTGGGAGGTAGAGGCCCAGTTGGAGCCTACTATCTATGGGCTAAACATGGGGTTCGGTGGGCAGATGACTAAAAAAGGTAAAACCTTTGCTGAGATAACAAAATACATTTGTTGCAACCCATTCCACCGCCACATCTATGATAGATGACTGCTTTGAATATGTAATTCATGTAAAAACTAGGGTTTCGTATCTATCTGTTGGTGTGGTTTTCTGCTATACGAAGGCACCCATAGATTGAGGTGCAAACTGCTCAGCTGATGATATATTCCTGACTGCAGTGTGGTCAAGATCTTAAAAAATACTGTTACATCAGACACTTTGTGTTTGTAATGATTCGTGTCTTCTGTTTTCAGAGCATTAATAATGCAATAGGACAATGGTGGGGGTATGGGTTTCTTTTAGTATGAGTGGTCAGAATGGGAAAAAGAAAAAGGAGATTTGATGCTTGCTCGTTTTGGAAGGAGAAATCAGCCACGTCTCGCGCTGATGGGTAGCGAGAGAGCGTGTACAGTGTGTGAATCAATTGGCTTGTTTTGTTTTTAAGATTTAATGAGTCATGTGAGTTGCTCCCGCTTGATCAGCCAGTCAGGTTTGCTCAGGTCCCAGTAGAGCCTGCCAGGTCGCCTGCTTTGATCGATTATTGAAGGCACTTGAAAGTTGAAAACTCTTAAACCATGTTTAGCAAAATCTACAAAACGATTTAAAGATATCTTGGATGGAAAGATATCATTATTCAGTATTCACTGGTTCTGATGTGAACCTTTAACCTTTCTTGCTTTTCTTGTTCAAGTTGTCTTCCATAAGTGGATATTTCATCACTATGCCAAATGTTCTGATTTGAGATTTGAGAGCTAATTATGGCTTAGACAAAGCTTTTTGAAGAGTCAGTGTTGCGGTTAGATTGATCGTGCAGACTAAATATCTTCTCCAAAGTCTCCGGATTAATTGTAACCGATGAAGATTACATGGTGACCATCATAAAAATCTCTCTTAAACACAAATTAAACACTATTTTTCTGCCGAAATCATTAGTGAATTGATGTCACATATCAGAGAAGTTGTTCCTCATTTACACTTGCAAATCCTTATCTCTATCTGTTCTGCCTATCAGAGATATAGAGTGAAATTCATAATCGATGAGTAGAGAAATTGCAGTGTGAATTCCAGATAAGGCAAAAGCTGATGGACCCCCATGATGCACAGGGCCGCCAGCAATAGGCCATATGACAAATGTCATAAAGAAGGCGTCAGCTTGTGTTGGTGGGAACATTACGCTCTGGGCTTGTGGCCACTGACGCAAACAATTATTCATGCCCCACCTAAAATCACCAAAATGTACCAATTTATCCATGCTTTTATTTCCTTCTTTAACAAAATCACACGGGCATTCTCGTCAACTGTGGCCTTCTATCAAAGACTTCTGTTATATAATTATGCGGTGGTGACGCCCTGTAAAGAGTCAACCAACACGGTCTCAAGTTCATGCAAATTGGTAAGGAAAACCCCATTTCCTCTCCCTTTCCTCCCTTCTTATAATTTATATTTCTGTATTAATAATGTATAACTGTAAATATTTTTAGGTCTGAATGCATAGTTTGATTGGATATATAGTTCATGCGCCAACTTTAAGCATTAAGCAATAAGAAAAGACCATAGTAGGGTCAATCTGGGTGGAGTATATTTCTAGTGGGAAAAATATGGAGAGTGAAAGTAAGAAGAGAAAATTGGGGAATGAAGAAGACAAAGGTGATGATGAAGAAGAGGTGGAGAAGTTCTTTGCTTTGATCAGAAGCACAAGGGAGATGCGTGATCGCCTAAGAAACGTGCCAAATGAATCAAAAGAGAAAGTAGAGATCAAGAAGAAACAGGAAGAGAAGCCGGTTGCTGCCCTGTGGAATCAAACATTCCGACCAGAAGATTTCATGGAGGATTCCAGGTCTAAGAATCCTTTGGTATTGAATGATGCAGGCCCTTCCTCGAAGATAGAACAAGAGCAAAAACAAGAAAAAGAAACCAAAGAAGGAGAAGGTAGTGGTTTAGACCTAAAGCTTTCTTTGTAGTAACTTAATGAAGGAATAGTGGATTTCCTTTTTTGTTACATGTTCAAAAGAAAGGAAAAGCGGTCAATTTTCCTACTGTTACATATCAATTCATATGCTGATCAATGTTAATATTTGAAGTGCTTTTTAAATGATCTAATTTTGTGACTCAACTTCAGTTTCTTGTGTGGCTGGCTCTATTTGGTTCAACTTGATATTTTCTCCGGCAAGCCTGTTGGAATTGAAAGTAGGACCATTGTCCTGGGAATATGGTGCTGCAGTTTCCAGGGCCTAACTTCCCAATGGGCGTTTCTACTTTCGGCCTACAATGCAATTGCGGAGAGCAGACGGTAACTTCCGGGTTAAAACATTTTAGTATCACAGACTGAGGAAGTCAAATATACAGTTTCGTTTCTTCACGAGGTTGAAAAGTAGGATAACGGGCCTGAGAAGCTCCTCATTTGGGAAGAAAAAAGGAGTTAACACTAAATATTCGAAAGCCCGGTTTTGAACCGGTCAACGGTAGTTAGTGGCAACAAACATTAGCAATACTACATTATTCCACGAGACTTTGAATGTAGAAAAATATCCCTATGAGGAGGTAGTATTTGCGAATATTCATGGTTTCGTGCTTGTCTCATCAACCCAACAGTCATGGGTTCATTATTGCAAATTGTAACTCTATTGCTCAAAAATGGTGCTTTTTCAAGGCTTTTGAATGCTAACCCATGAAAATATCTTCTCAAAGACGACCTCCATTGACTATGAAGGGACCTCCACACGAAGAAGAATTAATCAAACAGAAATAACTGTTTAGTACTAATGATAAAAAAAGTGATGCCAGGCCATGACGTGCAGAAATCACAAATTAAAGATGGCAACTTTTGAAAAAGAACAATCTACTTTGTTCACTTCAGTCAGATTCAATGGACCTAATTTAAAGGATATCATGACCTAGAACAAGTCCCCACTTACATAGATTTTTCTGTGACTTGATCAGGATTTTCATGTGAAATTGTGTAAGCTTGAACTTCCAAAACAGTAGAGTAGGAGAAGTGAAAACAAACATTAGGTACAGTAGGAACAGAGACGGAACAGAGAAACAAGTCACCTTGAACTTGAAGATCAGCATGAACAAGACGAGGAGGAGAAGGTGGTTGAGAAATTCTTCACCATGATAAGAACACTTAATGATATTCCTAGTACTTCAACAAACCATTTCCAGGTATAGTGGTAATTAAGAATACAATGAAGGTGAAGAAGGTACTTTAGGCATCTACTTCAATTTCCAAAATTGAACTGGATGATTTTGCAGAGCTCAACTTTGAAACAGCCTGCCAAGTTCTTCAATCAAGGAAAAGGAAGAATAAAGGAAGGATCAGTTAGGCATTAACCTTACCTAGCTTGTAAAAGAGAAAGAGGTTGTAGATTTGGCAAGCTAGAGCAACTATTTCGGTAGCTGTGGCTCCCACCATGCATGAAATTAGTTGATGGCACAGCAATAATTTAGCACCAGTCATTTTTGCAGTTGCTAGCATGTTTGACTTTTTTAACGTGGAGTGTGGATGTTGACGCAAATGTTTAATAAGCTTTACTCACTGCAAAATATGCTTACAATTTTATTGATGCCAAATTATTGATATTCCAATCCTGGTGTTGTTTTCGTTGGAAACTGACAGGTTTTGTGTCTACTAAAAGTATGTTGATGTCTGACCTCGAGGCTTTCCTAGAAATACAGAAGAGAAGGATGGTTAGAGGCAAAAACAAAATATGTACTTTATATTTATATTTCGATGTGTAAATTAAAAAGATTCAGGTTGAAAAAGAAGTAAAAAGGAGAGAAATGGAGTATGATCAACCTACTTTAATGGTACTTAAATTTTCATATTTATAGGTAAGCTGTAGGAAACCATTAAGGGTTAATATGGATAGTATCGAGCTGATGTGGCACTAATTATATCAAATTGATCTAACATATCAAGTCAACATAAATGATAAAAATACCCTTGAATTTTTGCTAAAGGCTTTTAAAAAGGAAAAAAGACTACTATACCTTTTTGACCCTCAAATGCCCCTAGCACTCTGTCCTTCAACCAAGCAATCTGAGTATCAGATTGCTAAATGTACGATCGATGTCTCTGTTGTAAGACAGATCGGCAAGAAAAGATGACCTGAAAGTTTGATCTTTCGAAGCCGACGTTATTAAAGGAGGTAGGTTTTAGAAGATGACTAGCCTTAAGCCATGGTTTGCCCTCGTGGTTGTCTGATCTTGTGTTTGTATCTTGGGTTGAGTGCATAGTTGGCTTAAAGATTATCGAGGTGATAATTGCTTGGAATAATCCAAGGTTAGTGCTAGAGTTCGTCTAGTCATCGTGACTTGTATTTTATTTCGAAAGCTTGGATCTAAGGCTTTACTTTGAACTCTGATGGTGAATCGAGCATTCAATTTACCTTAGAGAGTCACTCAATTCAATCGATTTGACTTGGGGTTAGTCTAATTCGGTCGATCTAACAGTATTAAATGAGGAGAGAGGTAGTTTAAGTGAAAAAATTTAAAGCGGAAAAACAAAAAGGCATCTTCCTACCTTTACTTTGAGATGTGGCATAGCCCGTGTTGTTTATTTGATATGCAACACATCTATATAAAGAGCCATTGGGGCTTTAATTTTTCACCTTTATGCTTTCTTTGCTTTTGATCCAACATGAATTTTTCGATCTTAAAAGCTTTTCGACCTTTAAAGTTTTTTCATACCTTTTTCGGTATGTATTTTTAACCATATCTTTTAGTATGAGTTTTGAAGAGACAAGGAGTTATCGGGTAGAACTTAGGGGAGGTCAAAACAGGTAGCAAGATGACGATCTGATCCCACCAATTATCGGGGGTCATAATTATGAAAGGATAGCCTAGTGGTTTAATTTGATATCTAAAGAAAGGTAGTAGTGAAATGAAAAAAATGCTCAAGCAAGAGGAGATAAATCCTGAGCACAAAAAAGTTGTGTGCTTAGATTGATTTCGATCTACAAAATCCACCATATTTTCTTATCTTTAAGGTCGATCCATCTTCTATGGTCAACCTTCATTCGTCTTTGGTTGTTCCTCTTTCTGGGGTTCAATTTCATCACTTGCTTCTTTTTCTATTCTCCCCTTATCGATGCTTTCGTCGTCACTTACATTCCCTGTTAATCAATTTTTATGGATATCTCCTCCTCCCCTAAGAGATCTCACCTCATCCTTTTTCCTTCAGGATTGAGTTACTTTCAGCCATTACTCCACTTTAGAATCCTACTCTTACTTAGGAGTCAAAGTCTTCTGGTGGTGAAGATTCTGATAATGAGGGTTTTGAGAAGGAACAAGAGAAAAAGAGTACTTGAACCAGGAAAAGTAACGATAGAGAGAGAGCTTTATAGTGCAAGATAAACTCACTAAGATTCTTGTATATACTCTCTGTGACCTCAGTGTGAGCTCCAAGAACGAGATAAATAAACTAAAAGGCAAGGTAAATCCTGAAAATTATCCTAACATGTGTTCAGCTTATCACGTCGATGCTTTGGGTACGACTTTTTTTTTTTTTGCAGAGAGGTGTATAATATAATAATGTCAAATTCTTTAGAGCATATCACTGATAGATTGGAGCTACATTGACTCTATATGAATAGCCGGTCTGAGATTCTAATTTCATCTCTTTTTTGTTTTAATTTTTAATTATTATAATTTGACTATCATTCAGCTCATTCTTAACTCTATACTACTCATAATTGCTTTCATTATTCTTTGTCAACATTTAAACATTCTTTCTTTTCTCCTATTAAGAAAAATTTTTTCTCTTAAAAAACACCCCAACGATAATTGGTGGTACTACATAACAACTCAATCTAATAAGAAATTATTTGTCGATTGTCCAAGCTCAATAAAAAATAAAAAACTACTCTTCCTTTGCCTTAAGACGAAAAAAATAAATAAATATGGTGACGTCAGGATCGAGGATGTTTCCGAGGTTGAGGCTTGAAAAATAAAGAGTATGTCTAGCACTTTCGTGGACACACTGGTGGTTTTTTTCCATCTTGAATCTATTAGATCGGGATAAAATTTTGAAATATACCCATAGGGGGAGGTCATTATTGATGCCCACGAGTTAACCTTTACAAAAGTAATAAATAAGATGAAATATTGGGGTAAGTTTAAAGTAACTTGGCAAGATTTTACTTTGACTTAATTTTTGTCTAACTGTTAGCTCGATTTTGCAAAGATGGCCAACATTGATGATTTTGACTTTGGGTTATATCAGAATGTCCCCAAGCCTAAGAAAAGCCAAAAAAAAACTTAGCTCAGTGCCCCGTCCCGTAGAGGAGATAAGGTCATCAACATTTCACTACATTGCTCTTCCATAGGACAAAAAATAAAAACCATAGCTCACCAAGACCTGTCATCGACGTTAGCACCAATATCCCCTTATCTTCCTGCCAAAAGAACATGAGTAGAGGCCTTCTCGTCTACTATTAAAAATCGCGAGGTAAAGGTATTAAGACCTAACTTAAAAAGGATCTTCACCAACTTCAAGTACACTTCTACTGATGACCCCATCATGAACTTAGTTGTGGCAAAAAGATTTAGTAAAGTCGTGATTCCTCCATTTGGTAAGCACTGGCGTATGCGTTCTTGAGACTTATTTGTAGTCCATTCTAGATTGGTTTTATCTTTTTTATCCCATAAATCTCTTTAGCTAACATTTTCTTATCAGAGCTTTAATCTCGTTTTTCAGGTTGACACAATCTTTAGTTTTATGGCCTATCTCTTTATGAAAGGTGCATCTTTTTGTTGGGTCTCTCTTGGTATTCTATTTCACTGGCTTTGGCCATCTGAGGTGAAGTTTCTTTTAATTTGCATCAAAATCTTCTCTTGAAAAGTATTCAAAATCTTATCTCGAAAGATATTTAGTGCAATGTAGCTTTTTTCTTCGTTGGGGCTTTTAGCCATATGTTATCTCCCTTTTGAGAGAGGATTGTAGAAATCCTTACCTTTTTTATGACTGAAGAAAGGGGATCAGCCTCTCTTACCTTGATCGCTGAAAAGGGAAATGAGCTTCTCTCACCTCAGTTAGTTTTCATTGTAACTTCAGCATTTTTATACTTCTTGACTATTAGTAATTCGTCGATCAGAGTTTTAGACGATTTTAGAGATAAAGTTAATTTTAGGTTGTATTCTTTGTCACTGAGTCTAATCATCAGGGCAACGACAGCGACCATTTGTTCCAAGTCTTTAACCTGTAAAGCCTCTACGTTAAAATATATGACATAGCTATTTAAATATTCATTCCAAGCTTGGTGAATTGACATTAAACTTAGGGTCATCTTCTTCACTCTTCAATTACTAATAAATTTGGATAGGAAAGAGTGGTTGAGCTTCTTGAACGTTGTGATTGACCTCAGTTCTAGGCTGTTGTACCAAGACCAAGCTACACCCTTTAGCATAGTAGCTAGGCATTTGCATATTAGAGCCTCCTCTGTCCCCTGCATCATGTTAGTCCTATAAGGTTCTAAATGATTGAAAGGATCGTTGTGTGTTTCCAAGGTAGGCATTTTAACATAGCAGTGCCTCTCAAATGATCAAAATGATCGGAAGTGCCGTTGTATGTTTCCAAGGTCGATATTTTAAATCCTTTGAAAGGCACGTCTCTGTCAATTTCTTTAGTGAAAGGCAAGGTCTTTAAGAACTTGAGCTCATTCTCAAACTCCATTGTTTTCGTTTTCAGCTCTTTTTTCATGGCCTATATCTAAGCTTCCAAATCTTTATTCGATTGGGGTTCGACATTCGTTTCTTTGGATTTTTAGGTCATAGCATGTGTTGAATTATAGCTAGGGTAATGGTAAGTTGAAGTGTTGCGCTTCTCTTTTCTGGAGGCTGAGGAGGCTTCCACCTTTTCATAGCTTGGTTGTCTAACAACAGCTTCCCGATCAGGGGTGATAGGGTCAGGCATTTTTTAGACTTGAAGCAAAGTTATGGTTTGCAACATCTGCTTGAAGGCTTGTATTTGTTCAATCAAGGCTTGGAATTGATTTATAGTCAAGCTCACCTGTGGTTGGGCAGGTCAAATGAAATGTTGGCTATGATAGGTTTTTGTTACAACCGAGATGATTGTCTTTCCTTCTTCTAAAGTTCTTTTCCTTGACAACATTGCTTTATACTTGGTTGATGAAAAAAAAAGCCCCTTACTTGGTATGCCAAATGTTGATGCCAAGCTCCGATCTTGGGGCTTTCTTAGAAAGACAAAAGAAAAGGTAGTTAGAGGTAAAGGCAGAATGTGTTCTTTACATTTGCATTTCGACATACAAGTAAAAAAGATTCAGGTCAAAAAGAAAGTAAGAAGGAGAGAAATAGAGTAAGATCAACTTGCCTTAATGATGTCTAGACTTTTATATTTATAGGTAAGTTGTAGGGGACCATCAGAAGAGAATAAATATAATGTCAAATTGATGTGACATTGATCATGTCAAACTAACCTGATATGTCAGGTCGGCACAAATGACAAATACTTTCGATTGTCTTCCAAAAACTTCTAAAAGACAAAAAAAAAAAAAAACTATTATACCCTTTTGACCACCAAATGCCACTATCAAATTCCTAAAATAGTTGGTCTCAAATTCAAATTTCAATTTGGTAAAAATAAAATCACTTTGGGGGTAGGGCGACGACAATATTGAAATTGGTGCTCACGAAAAGACAAATATTATAACTTAGAAGGTCAAGTGCCAACCTCTTTTTTTTTTTTTTTTTCTTTTTTGTAAAAGCTCTTGCTGTAGAATTATTGGTGATAGAATGCGGTGTGCAAAGTTCCCTTCCCCAAGTGCCATCCCCCATGTCATAACCTAAAAACCAGTATAAAATTCTTTCACATTGCAGCATGAGCCTGAGGTTAATACAGAGCAGTTGTGCGTGCAGGGCTTGAAGGCAGCTCTGCAGACATTCTATGACAAATATTTCAGTCGAGAAATCATAGACAATTAGAGAGAGCACACCGGTGACATTAATCACAATTTGCCTTCACTTTTTCTTTTCGAAAAGATAAATAGTATGAACCTTGAACTTAAACACATTTCCGTAATCCCATTCAATGTTGCTAGAGTTTCTTCGTCACCAGTAGGAACTAATACCATATGAATAACAAGTCCAGCATTATGAGTTGTTCGTGCCGGAAATCTTAAGTGTGGCACCAATGATAAGTGCGCCGCAGGGTATAAAAGAATATTGCCTCAAAACCAATCTGGAATTCAATCCATTAATAACATTACAAGCTATTCGATTACCAATAGTCCCCGCAAGAACAGAAGCCATCCTTAAAATGATGGAATCTATTAGCATCTCTCAAAATGATTTCTCTCCCGGTTATTTTTGCTGTTAATTTAATTGCAGTGTGGCAATCTCCACAAACTCGAAGATTTTTCATTACACGAATAGGCATCTCCATAGGAACCTTCAGCAATCCATATGCCACAGCCAACTTCTCACTGTGATACCTCAAGCTATTCAACTTTTCTTCCTCATCCACATCATGCAACACAAAACTACCATCAGGATTATACCCAGCTTCTCTCAACAACACACCTAATTTTTCCAACGTTCTCATGATCATTGCATGCTCAGGATGTGCCCTGATATCACCAGTAGTGAACATATGTAATCTTTTCTCAACCTCAATCCAGCTAGAACCAGGTGATTTCTTCACACATCTTGCCCTCATGTTCTTTCTCAGGTCTGCAACGTCACTCCATTTACCTTGAGATGCATATAGATTTGACAACAGGATGTAGGGGCCAGCATTTTCAGGCTCAAGCAGTAGAAGCTTCTTTGCTGCAACTTCAGCCAGATCCAACTTTCCATGTTTTCTACAGGCCCCTAACAGAGAACCCCAAACAGCAGCATCTGCTTCCATGGGCATTTTTTCAATTAAATTCATTGCCTCATTTACCTTGCCTGCTCGACCAAGCAAATCCACCATGCAAGCATAATGTTCAGTTTTTGGCTCCACCATATATTTGGATTTCATCGACTCAAAGATTTCAAGTCCTTCTTTGACCTTCCCAGTGTAACTACATGCCGTAAGAACTCCAACAAAGGTAATATCATCTGGCACCATTCCTGAGGAGAACATTGATTGGAATACCTGCAAGGCCTCCTCGCCTAGACCATGCTGGGCATAACCACTGATCATAGAATTCCACATAACAATATCCTTTGAAGAAAACCTATAAAAAACTAGCTTTGCTTTTACAAGATCACCACACTTAATATACATTGTAATCAAAACAGAGGCAACATATACAGCAACATCAAACTGAGACCTCACCAACTGGGCATGAACCTGCCTACCATAATCCAGACTTGCCAAGCTGGCACAAACAGAAAGAATGCTAATCAAGGATGGAAATTTTGGCCTAATTCCCTCTATTTGCATTAATATAAACAAATCAAGCGCTTTCAGTTCAAATCCTTTCCTCGCATAAACCTTAATCATTGCACTCCATGTCCCATCATCCTTCACCTTCATTTCGTCAAATATCCTCCTTGCTTTTGGCACCTCTCCATTTTGGCCAAACCCAAGAATCAAAGCATTGCATGTGACAACTGACTTCACCGGCATTGCCTTAAAAAGTTCAAAAGCTGCTTCTATCCTTCCACACTGTGTATAACCCATCAACATAGCTGTCCATGACACCTCATTTTTCATAGGCATCACTTCAAAAAGCTTCCTAGCAACATCCACACGGTTATTCTGCGCATACCCTGTAATCATAGTAGTCCAAGATATCACATTTCTTCGCGGCATCTCATCAAAAATCTCTCTTGCTTCACTTAAACGCCCTTCTTTACAATATCCTGCTATCATATTAGTCCTAGTAACAACATCCTTTTCCGGCATCATATCATACAAACTACGCGCGTCATCAATCCGACCTTCTTGAATTAGTCCACCTATCATCACTGTCCATGAAACCACGTTCTTCTCGGGCATTAACCAAAACAGAGATTCTGCCTCCGCCATCATACCCTCTTGAACATACCCACGAACCATGGCAGTCCATGAAACTACATTGCGCTCCGACATTTTATCAAACACTTTCCTAGCTTCACTAACCATTCCATTTTTTATATACCCAGCAATTAAACCATTCCAAGAAACGACGTTTCTCTCCGGCATTTTGTTGAACAAAAGCTGGGCTTCATTGGGTTGATTGTTCTGAAAGTAACCAGCAATGATAGAGTTCCACGAATCGACTGTTTTGTGGGATAATTCATCGAATACTTTACGAGCATTCTGAATTTGACCCACACGAGCAAATTGCGCAATCCGATATCTGGGAAAGACCGCAAAGCTCGTAGAATACGCTCTACGTGTGTTCAACAGAAACCGCATAGATGAATAAGAAAGCTTTGGTTTTTTTTTTTTTTTAAGAAATGGTAAAATGAAATTGAAGCTTTTCGGAGAGACTTAGTATTAATCATAAAACAAGTTTCGAGTATAAGGTGCTATGTTTACGTTGCCAGGGCCGATGAAAAAAATTTAGCTGGAGAGACGAGAGCTCATGCTGTTGGATTAGGATATTCCACTTAGGTATAACTTTATCCTAGCTGGAGTCTGGAGATTAGAAGTCAGAAACAAAAATGAATAAAGCCAGGGACCGTCTTTTTGTCCGTATTGAATTACAAAATTAACCCTGTTTCTGTTTTTTTTAAATATTATTACTTTTGGAGACATTATAAATTAATAATAATAAATATATATTTTTTGGAATTGTTACAACGTAATCAATTAAATAATCAATGAAAAAACTATAATATAATTAAATACTTACATTAATAAAATTTAAGTTTAAAACTTCGAAGATTTAAAATCTCAAAATTCTTTAACAATGGCATTGTTAGTAATTTCTTAACAAACAACCATCCCCTCTTTCACAATTTGTTTTTATTACCATTTATTACCATTACTAGCGCTAATAAAACATGTATACAAAATGAAACTTATCTTTCAGAATATTAGGAATGATTTTATAAATAGTTTATTTAAAAAGACCATACAAAATCTAAATGAACCCATCAAGCTACTTGACATTTCTCAAGGAGCCAAAGACAGGACAGCCACACTCTCATTGCACCTGTTACAGTGTTTTCAGACATAATACTTCACCTCAACAAAATGATGATGATGCTTTTAACTTGCGCCAATGTTATCTATACGTATGAATGATCAACCATGGCAGAAGAAATCAAACGTAGTGCGTGGTGTGGAATAAGCTGTGGAAAGTACTTTCGAGGCTACAATGGTGTTGGCTGCTTCAGTGTAATGGATCCCATCCCAGCTAACAAATCGAGATCCTTCATTGCAAACCTGGTAGCCAGGCTGACCACAGGTCACTCTGATATTGTAATTGTATGGAGGTCCTCCAGACCCACAACACGCCATTAATGGACTTGAGAAACCTACATGCGTTGTTCAAAAAGATTTGATTGATCAAAACAATAATGTCTTCACTACTGCAATGTGTATAACAACCCTTTCATGAAATCTTCTCCTGGCTTCTTCTTAATGAAGTTGAACAAAATTACACTAGTAAACATTGCAATAGCATGAATTCAAGACCAGCTTACCATATTTCTTGGAGTTGGCAATGAGTTCATATTTGACAGCATATATATCTACGTACACGATTGTAGCACCAGCCAGCTCAGACCTCAGCTGTATGCATAAATGGCGCAGTGCTTCATTGAATAATTGCGCTGCAGAATTATAGCTCAAAAGACACCCATGTGGATCCAAATCTTTCTTTTCAACTAACCAAAGTTTCTGAGGAAGACAACCTAATGGTCCTGTGTTGTGTATCCAGAATTTCCTTCCCCCCTGATTATATAAGGCCTAAAAGCAACATGAATGGAAAATTAATGTCAGAAACCATTAATATGACATATTCATTCCCCTACAGGTAGCAAAGTAAGCACTCTACTATCCATGGTTGTAATTGAAGCAATATTGGCTCTAAATCATGACTACCTAGAGTTGAAAGGTTATTAAACGTGAAAACTAGGAACTTCATATGTTCATACTTCATACCACTAAATGCCATTCAGACTTCCTAAGATTTCATCACATATATATATTAAAGGAATAATCCTGGATGTGTCAACAACCAATACAATGGCTAATATGTTTTGACAATTTGATGGCTCTTTTATAGTGTTTGAAACATTAATGCTGGTTGGAAACAGAATGGAAGTAGCTTAACAATAAATCAAGATTCTGGAAGGAGATAGCCGAAGTTTTTGCAATTTCTAAAAGCCCTCTTATGGTGCTACCTTTCTGCTTATCTCTTGCTGGGATTACTTAACTCACCTTTACAGCATTGTTTATTTCTGTAATGATGGATGGAACCCTTTTGGTTACTTGCACATATGACAAATTTTTGGCAAATGAGTCAGCAATGTCATTTTGTCCGATATCAATGATGTAAAGTGCATTCCGGAATCCTTCATCATTAATCAAATTTCTTGAACCTAAAAAGGACAAGTTCAGTTAATCCAAATGTAGCTCAGTAATTAGACAATATTGTGCAAGCTGCATAAAAGTTGTCCGGTGACTAAAGACAGGTAAAATCTGCAGTATGTTACCATTACACTTTATAGATCTTGAAAAAGAAAAAGAAAATTCTCCTAGTATTAATTAAGCATGCTTGTAAAGAACCATATTCCCCCCCCCCCCTCAAGTAGAATTTCAGAGGAATTTCAGAGGTTAAACTAAATCTTCCTTGATTTATATACATTTGTCACATTTGACAGTAAATCAACAAGAACAAAAAACCAAAGAACTCACATTTGACAGTAAATATCTATCCAACCATTACAACTTATATGACTTGCCAAATAACCCTGTGTATCGTAGATAGCTTAGAAATATAGCTAAAGATTAACTAGTACCATGTACATTGTTACATTAGCTAGAGAACAGATACAAAAGATTTACGTGTTGGGTGAATCTCTGAGCTGTAACCATGGCAGTGACCGTGAAACTTCCAATGTGTAAAACACATGCTGCTAAGTGATGCCTTTGAGTCTAGAGACTCCGTATAAGAGTGAAGAGTTTAGAGACTCCATATAAGAGTGAAGAGTTCAGAGACTCCATATAAGAGTGAAGAGTTTATGTAAAACGGAATAATCCATCCATTAGTTTCTTCCATCAAATGGATCAGTTCAGACACACCAGCCAATGTAAAGAGATTAAGAGAAATTACCATGTAAAATGAGAAAAAGAGTACTGAACTGAACAAAAACATTACCAGTATTAACAAGCTCCAGGGAGCGGGCCTTGAAGTGAAGAAACTGCATGACCTGGATGTACAAGGAAAAAGGAACAAATTTGGGAAGGGTAGAGGAGCCCACCACTGCAAAGTTTGCACCATTTGTGAAGTTGGACCCGCTCAAAGAGTCTAGGTATGGGCTTAGAAAACTTGCATTCAAACTTTGGCCTGCATTGTCAATTACTTCATGTAATTACATTCACAAGTATTATATAATATAATATCTGGAGCTTTAGATCCATCCCAGACCAAGATCTCTCTATTATCATGTCGGAACACCTGATGGCTGATGGGGTATACTTGAGATCTGATACTGGTAAATATATATATATATATATATGTATATTCATATAGTAGCATTTGTCATTAGTAACTGAAAAATAGTCTTAAATAGTATTATTTGAGCCGACACTTTTTAATACTAAAGTAATCTAACTCAATACAGCTAATGATAAAGCTGTAATTAACCATACTCTTAAAAGCATTTCATTACTCATTACTGCTTTATCTACACACACTAAAACAGTATCCCATGAATAGGTTACAACTGTTTTTCCATTTACTAATACTAAAAAAAAAATACAAGCAATTTAGAATTGGGGTCCACATTTATTAATTGAATCAGTGAGCAGACAACGAGGACTGACAGGCGATAGCACCGTCACGAAAGGAGAGCCGGGACCAACTACAACTTGTGCACCGCAAAGTGCACTAAAACTAGATATGATCATGATCAGCTCATTTCCCACCGTTCGATGATCATACATCTCACAGAAAGCAAGGAAAGTAAAATGTGAATGTACCACCACTTACACAAGAAGTCAATCAGGAGGCGTCCATCGGACAGTCTTCCAGTTGATCTATGAAAAAACGAACGGCCATTGGGAAGATTGACAGGAAAACCAAGTCCAGAAGTAAGTCCACCAGTGTCTGAGTTGGAATCACCAAAGTTGAAGATGATGGGCTGGTTCTTGCATTGGGAAGCAACTGGGTGTGGAAAAGAAGCTAAGAATAATGTAAAAAACAAGTAGAAGAAGAAGAAGATGGGGTGAAGGCAAAGCACTGAAAGAGAAAGTTGGGAGTGAGAAGAAGCCATGATGAAATGACAAGCTAGCAAGATAGGAAAAAGATTACTACTTTTATTTTGTTTTTCTTCAGCAAAGTCTAGGCTTTGTTAGGCTAGTTGTAGCCTTGTGGTCACGTTGGGTTGGGCTTTGGGATTGGGACCCCTTTTTCCTTTCTCATGGCTTATTACCTTTGCTTTGATGAAGATTTGAGGACAATGCCGATATTACATATTTAGAGGGGTGTGGAATAATACAGGTTTAAGGATGTCCTTTTGGGTCGAGTTAAAGATCATTTGAATTAACGATAAAATTAATTTTAATAAAATTAAAAATAATGATGAAAGTTGTTATCATTATAATTAAAATAAAATTTACATTAAACTTTAAAATTTTATTAAAAATTTTATGCTACAATTAATCAATTATATTTCACGAACTTTTTATTTAAATTTCATCGATAGAATTTTAGAACTTAATCCTTAGTTTGTCATTTGTCTTTAAACAAATAGTGATAGTGGCAAAGCGTAAGTTTGCAGTGTCCTAAACCTTTGCTTTAAGCTGCCACCAAGCGCTTAGCACCAAAGTCGAATGGTATAATGTTGGTGATGCTTCATAAATTTTGAGGATTCGAGGCATAAAAGCATAATGCTCTTGCTAACCAAACAAGTTAAGCAAGTCTTATCGATAAATGCAAAGAATCAAGGATAAATTAGAAATTAAAAAAAAAAAAAGAAGAAAACTTTGCTTTAAGCTTGTCAACGTAAATATAGATAGGATTGGCTTTATCATCATCACATTTGTTAATTTGTCAACAATGATGTTTCTCTTTCTCTCTCTTTTCTTGTACAACTATACAATATCCCTAAGGAAATCTGAGCCTAAAATTTTCCAATCTAAGACTTGTTAAAAATTGGACAAAAATTGTTAGAATGAGGTGGTGTTCTAATCTTTAATTGTGGTGCCAATTGTGCAAAGAAATTCTTTTCGTCGCTCATTTAATTTGTCGAATGTTATATCAATTAATTTTCACTTAAAAAAGAATTCGATAGCAATTTGTTAACATGGAATTTCATTCATTAATTAGTCATACGTAGCTAAGTAATTAGAAAATGATAGACAACTATTTACTTCAATGATTGAATTCTAAACCAGTCTTGATGGAATTGTTTTTTATTCAAAATTGAATTAAAACTAGCTTAATTTTAATTTATAACCAAATTATTTTAACTGAATCATTTAAAGTTGAATCCAAAAATAACTTGATTATTTCCATTTTTATATGCACATAGATATATTATAGTTAGAATTAAGAGGTTGGGTACTTTACAATGGAGGAATTGATTAACAAATAAAATAAGTATTTTTTTAGTGTTGTTATGAGGAAATTAAGGAGGTGGGTATGGCTATACGATGGGCCAGGCAGCTTATGGGCCCAACCATGATACAATTATTGGAAGATAAACAATAATTGAAACAAATAATTCCCATTATAATCAATAATGATGATTATGCAACATACATCAACATGCATGTTTCCCTGCAATTGCTTTGCACGTATCTTTTTCTCTAAAATGAAGTTCTTCTTCTAAAATATACAATCATTTCGTATGCTGCATTTCATTATTAAATGCATGCATACATTTTTATTCTAAAATGCTCATCGAAATTTTGCAATCTACTCTTACAATTGCATATACGAGATGACTACAATTTCGTGAATATGATTTCATTAATCATTGCATTTGCGATATGTACTAATCTTTAACATTAATTCTGCGTGTGTTCCATCATTTTCATGTTAAAAAATATTTAATATTCCACTACATGATTTCCTTTTGAAACCACTATTAATTTTAGAAAAATATATATAAATCGATCAACTAGACAGACAGACAGAGTACCTAACCTGGGTAAGTCGTAAACGTGGCAGAAACGTGAGCTAAGAAAACTTGGAAAAAGAAGGCAACAAGCCAACAACTGGATATGGTGCCTTCGGACAGAGATCCCATAATCAACCCCTTTTCCATTTATGTCAATTATAAAGAATACCTTGTGATCATTCTGATGTAAATTTCCATATATCATTATATCATGACAATCTGAAAAAGCATGTTCGTTTTATCAAGCCTGGAAAGAGAAGAAAATCCAGAAGAATCAGTTCATGCATTCCATAAAAAGAAGAGAAACTCATAAATTACATTGGCTTTGTATGGTGAAGGAGTCTGAACTTTGAAATAAATATCAGATAGGTCCAAAACTAATATTTATTTACGGAGATTATTACCTTCAAGATATTCCCAACCCCTCTAAATATATTTAATGGCCACTCGAATCCACACATTGTCATTACCGTTGGCTTCACCCACTTTAACCTGTTTGAGAATTCAATAGAGTTAGCAGAGATCATTACTGCATATCCTAATCCAAGAAATTGACTTTGGGAAGGGTTTCTTCCCAGGCATGCTTGGAAGCCATGCAGATTGATGAGTTGTAACAAACCACAGGGCTAGGACCCCACAAAAGGGATAGTAGGGTCCCAGTTGTGGTTGTAGCTGACGGGGCATAAGGCAATTTTCTTGCTTCAAGTTTTCTTTGAACGTATAGCCACAGCTGCCAAGCCCAATAAAAAACAAAGCTTGAAAGCAACTTTATTTTGTAGTGGTGACGGCCATTTGTCCCATGCAGAGCCCAAGTGTTGCAAGAAATCCTGAACGGTTTTTCTGCTTTCATGCAGGGATTTTCTATCGCTTTCTGTTGAAACTTGAAACTCTTGCCCATCCGTATATAAATATAAATATAAATATAATATATATATATATATATATATATCTAGAGGGGGCTTTCCAGTTCTTCATTCCACATTATAAGTATTTTCTTTTCTTTTCTTTTCTTTTCTTTACTTTCTTTCTTTCCAACTTTTTCTTTAACTCTCTAAGGAGCTATACCTAGTGGTAATATCGTCTGTAGAGAATTAAAGAAACAATGTTAGGTGATTTCATGCCATTCTTGGCCAATGTTCTGGTGCAACTCGGCTATGCAGGCATGAACATCACATCAAAGCTGGCCATGGAATCTGGAATGAAACCTCTTATTCTTGTTGCATACCGGCAAATCTTTGCTACCCTTGCCATCGCTCCATTTGCCTTTTTCTTAGAGCGGTAATGGTTACTAATTTATTCATCAAGAACCTTGTTCATGAAGTTACCACCTCGTTTGGCGGTTTCATTCCTTGTTTCTGAATTCTGATTTGATCTGTTCATGCATATATATTATATATAGTATTCTGCTTGCTACGTCAACTGTCAAGTGGGGTGTACTTTCCAGTGGGCTTTGAATTTGTCACATTGGAATGAGTCAATCATCTTTTCTTTCTTGAATTTTATTTACGGTCTAAGTGAGAATTCGAGTGGATGTCTTAATTTAACGCTGATGTTTTAATCTGTTTATAATCAATGGATGCAGAAGGGTTCGATTTTCTTTTGTAATATTAATTAATCAGATTAAGCTTTCTTGAAGTTTCCTCAAAGAAATGGAGTAGAACACAACCACGTGCAGTAGTACTGCTCGTGTGTTTGGTTTCGAAGAAACTGCAGGAAAAAAGAACAAATTAAAGGATATGCTAGTATCAAAGAGAACAACATATATACAATATAATACTGTATCTGTCATGGAAAAGAAAAAGAAAAAGAAAAAACGAAAGGCTCTATATATGAAGCCGTATAGTTTAAGTTACACAGAGAGCTCTGTTAATCGATGGCTGAAAGGAGCTTTATGTGATTTGCAACTGCTTCGAAAACATAAGTTTAACTCCATGCATGGCTGCGAAGTCATTTGGTCTATTGGCCTTTCGCTAATGTAACGTCCTAGCAAATGTCGTCAGAAGTGGCGTTAATTGAGCACTTTTAAGGAAAAAGGTTTACACTGATTAATAACAGCAGCTATGCATGGTTGCCATGTTTTCACATATGCATTTTACTTTTTCATGCTTTCCTGCCTTACTTTCAGGCTAATTATATATATAAGTATGTTAATTTGCAATTTCAGTTTTTTGTGCTTGTTATGGAAACCTTAATTTGTCACACTTTTTATCCAGGAAAACAAGACCCAAGATCACTAAGCCTATTCTTTTCCAGATTTTCTTATGTTCACTGACAGGGTAAGTCTTTTGTCGTGTTCTTTTCACCTCAAAAGTTGTTAAGGTGGCTTTGTGCATTTCGTTTGGAATTTTTTTTTCCTTTTCTTTCTTATCATCAAAACTACTATACCTTAATGGCTAACTTCAAAGTAAACATGGATGCATGCAGGGCAACAGCAAACCAGGTTTTTTATTTTATAGGGTTGGAAAATTCTACTGCAACGGTTGCATGTGCATTGAACAATGTACTTCCAGCAGCCACCTTTGTCCTCGCAGCTCTTTGCAGGTGCCAATGTCATTTCTGCATGCAGTAATCTAATAAGTCTTCAATTATTCATCAATTACTAGCTATAGTCACTGGGGAGCAAGCCGTTGATATACTTTTTTTCCCCTTTCCCCTTATAATTGTTGAATTTTCTATTTACTAGACAAGAAGCTGTGGGAATAAAGAAGGCATCAGGGCAGGCTAAGGTATTAGGTACTTTAGTATGTGTTGGTGGGGCCATGTTGCTATCATTTTACCATGGACACACCATCGGCATCGGTGAATCCAGCATTCACTGGAAATATGCCGATAAAATGACTAGTAGAAGTTCCAGCAATGGGTCAAACTTCTTCCTGGGTCCCTTTCTAGTAATGGCCAGTGCTGTTGCATGGGCGGTATGGTTAATAATCCAGGTAATACATACTTCAGCCTAAATTGTGGAAGAGTAATTTTTTGAACGTTTATCAAAATTCAAATGTTAATTTCCATACAATCATCGCTTAACAATTTTCAGGGACAAACAAGCAAGAACTTCCCAGCTCCCTACACATGCACTACTCTAATGTGCTTCATGGCCAGCATTGAGTGTACAATCATAGGCATCTTTTCGGATCACAGAATATCTGCTTGGTCGTTGAGCTCCAGCATGTGGCTAATTGCAGCTCTTTATGCGGTAAGCGTAGTTCAGTTGGTTAAGAACAACTGTTTGAGTAATCCTGAGCTGATTGAGGAGAAACAACTGTTTCATATTCCAGGGAATTGTATGCAATGCAGTAACATTTTGCCTCCTCTCTTGGAGTATCCAAAAAAAAGGTCCTCTCTATGTCTCAGTGTTCAGCCCTTTGTTGCTTGTTATTGTGGCTGTTCTAAGTTGGGCCCTGCTTCGTGAGAAATTATACGTTGGAACGTGCGTATACACTCATATTCTCTTCCGAAATGTTTAATTTATTTTTTTGTCTTTCCGGTTAATGTAAAATATATGAATAATTGTAATGATGATATGGTTGATTCAGTGTTGTAGGGTCAATTCTGATTGTTGGTGGACTGTATGCTGTTCTGTGGGGGAAGGATAGGGAGATGAAACAGATGAAAGGCAATGACAAGATAGGTGAGGTAACAAAGGGTGGTGAGAAAGATGACTTGGAACTGCAGTTGCATCCACAGGCGAAAGGAAACCAACAGCAAGCAAAGTAGGAACTATTTCTGCGAGGCACAAAAGGTTGTGGTTAGAATCAAAGGTCACGATCAACGCTTTGAATTGTTTTAGAAAATGTATGTATCTATGTATGTATTATGTAAATCCTGCTGATGAGCAGAGTTGTACTGGTTTCTTTGCATTTGGTTTTGGATGCAGTTAGAGAGTAGGATAGATGCATGAACTCAGAGAATCAGAATGATAGTCGTATGGTATCTCTGATGATGCATCATCATCTGTTTCAATTCTAGTAGTTAAGTTCAATCAAAAAGTAAAAACTAAAAAACCTAGTATCCGATTGCGTTTCTTAAGCTTCTCAAATGTATGTGTTACCTACTTAATTTGTTATGAGAAAAAGGGTAAAAATCAATGTAATAATGCCATAATCAACATATTATTATTATTATTATTATTGGAAATTGCTTGCAAACATTAGTTACATGTAAAAATAAAAATAAAGATGTATACTTGCTTAAATTTCAGTAAAGTTTTTCAAAGATATCCCAATTTCATTTTAGTATGATAGCCTTCAACTTTAGAAACCTTAGTTATATTTAATCTCCATGATTGGAATTTTTTATTTTATTATTAATCAACCAAAATTGGTGGACTACTAGAAAATTTAGGCAAAGCTCAGATGGCAGAAAGCGAAGGTAATTAGCATTTGGGATTCGGATCCAAAACGACAGCGTTTGGATCTTAGGGTTTCCCAACGTTAAAGAAAGAAAACCTAATGGCGTGAGAAGGCCCCTCCGGCCTCCGCTCCAATTGTGAAATAAATAGCATTAGTTAGAGCAACCCAAGCCTACCTCTCTTTGATTTCATTGTAAATTTTAACATTGTTGTCTTTTAATTGTCCCTCTTCCTCGTTAGTTCTTCCTGGGCAGCCTCTTAATTCTTTCAATTTCTAACCTTGTAAAATCTCTCTCTCTCTCTCTCTCTCTCTATTTGCCGTCTGCTTCTGCATGTTATTTTTTTTTCAGGGTTTTCACTATTTGATCTCAGATCTAGATCTGGATCTGGGTTTTCCTAGATCTGCTTTTATTTTCACCTGGGTCTTGATTTCTATGAAATAAACTACTAGCATTAACTTTCATCTTGAACCTAGTGCTTATATAAGTTGTTCTTCCTGTAATATGCTCTTCTGTATGATTATGCATGTTTTTCTATCTCTGATCTGCTTATTTCATTTAATATTATATGATATTGTAGCTGATTTAGATCTGATTGTTTATATATCTGTAGCTTTACAAGCCTTTCTTAAAAAAACTGTTCCTAATAATCTCTTCCATTTTGGTCAATGGCATGCATCTATCTAAGATGAAAATTTTGGGCTGTCTTATATTATGTGCGACTATATTTATGCCAAATGGTTTTTGTTTTTTTTTTTCTGGATAGTATTAATTGGATGAATAAATTGGGATTGACCATATCTTGTTTTATGGGTCTCAGCCAAGATAAAAGGATGGGGCTGTCTTTTGCTAAGCTGTTCAGTCGACTGTTTGCCAAGAAAGAGATGCGAATTCTTATGGTTGGTCTTGATGCTGCTGGTAAGACTACCATTTTGTACAAGCTCAAGCTCGGAGAGATTGTCACTACAATCCCCACTATTGGTATGCCCCTTTCTTTTAAAAAGTTTTCTTTTTTAATAGTTTAATAATTTGATCATTAATAGTGATGCTTATTGCTACCTTGCCCAGGGTTTAATGTAGAGACTGTGGAATATAAGAACATTAGCTTCACTGTTTGGGATGTTGGTGGTCAGGACAAGGTAATATAACAGGAACTCAAAAATTTGCGGATCAAACGTAAATATTCAGAATTTTACTGTTATATTGTTTTCCTGGGCCTTCCTGCATGATGGAAACATTATAATTTGCCATGTTATTTTATTGTGCAATTGCAGTTGATGTTGAAACTGTTGGATGTGCTTATGGACGGTCTTATGCTGATGACATGTTCCATCATCAGCATATAACATAATCATAAGCTAAATCTACTAATGCCACCTTGTCTTTTAAGTTTTTTCCTTTATTGTGTGAGGAAAGGCTATCTGTGTTGTGGCTGACACATATATTGCCTGCTTGCTGTCTTGTATTTTCCTTGCTACTAAGTGTGCTTATGGACGGTCCTGTGCTGTTTAGATGGTCATCCGTCAGCGCATAACTAATTCATAAGCTACATGTACTGTCACCTTATGTTTTCAGCTTTCCTCTTTACTAAATGAGGAATGCTATTCATTCTGTGGCAAACATCACATATTTATCTATATATGTATGTTTTTGTAACAGTTTGGTTTAGTGGTCATTTGTGTGCTTACTAATGGTCTTTCTCTGATTGGATATTACTACATCAGCACATAACAGAACCTTATGATATCTTGATTTGTTGAGTAAATTATAGGGCGATGCTCTGAATTTTTTCTTCTCATGAATAAATTTTATGTTACCTCTGGGGTTTTTCCTTTTAACCAATGCTGTAGGCTTACTGTTAGCTGAAGTCTTATCCTCTTAGAAATAGTAATGGTTTTAGGTTTACCTAGTACATTATGGTTGCAGGTGATGCAATGCCAAGTCAAATCTGTCTTCAGTTTTTATTGTATTTTTCAATATATGCCTGCAAAAACGTTTATTTTATTTTATTTGTAAGAGTTGCTGGTTTCTTTTTGTAGTATTTGCCTTTACCTTTATTTAAATTAAGGGTTAAATAACTGCGAGTTTGATAGCTTTTATGGGCATTTTCAGATTCGACCTTTGTGGAGGCACTACTTTCAAAATACTCAGGGGCTGATCTTTGTTGTTGATAGCAACGACCGTGACCGTGTGGTTGAGGCCAGAGATGAGCTTCATCGTATGCTTAATGAGGTACCAATTTGCTTTAGGCATCTTGCTGAATGGTATTTGACACTTGGCAGCACATTGTTTGAAATTGGGATAGGTTCCAACTTTGTCCACTTTTAATTACAATTTAGCTTAAGTGTTCACCCATGATTTGTGTTGGGCATTGCCTTTGCTGGTTGCAATTTCACTAATGTGTTGAAATTTTCAGTAATGAGACAATGGAAGGGAAATAATGAGGGCTGTACCCCTGTAGTCTACATTTAGCTGTTTATACACATGCAATTACATTTTTTATTCATTTTGTTACATCTCATCTGTGTAGGATGAGCTGAGGGATGCTGTGCTGCTTGTATTTGCAAACAAGCAAGATCTACCAAATGCTATGAATGCTGCTGAGATCACTGATAAGCTTGGTCTTCACTCCCTCCGCCAGCGCCACTGGTAGTTTGTTATTAACTTTTTCACAGTTTTTTTATCTACAAATCATTAGGGCATTTATGTGTTTTGTACGCAGCAAAATATTTTCTGATAGAATGGAATCATTCTTCTGACTCTCAGGTATATCCAGAGTACATGTGCCACCTCTGGTGAAGGGCTGTATGAGGGACTGGACTGGCTCTCCAACAACATAGCTAACAAGGTAGGTTGAAGCTGACTTGTGCTTCCATTGTGGATATATTGTTCTGTTGTAATTTCTTGCTGGTTGGTCGAATTTCAATTTCTTGCTTTCTTTTTATATTTCCCAGGCTTGATGGTTGGTCGAGTTTAAGTGACCTCAGTCAGCCATATTTGTGAAATTTGATTTTTCGTCAATGTAATTTTTCTGTTGTTGAGTTTTTATGTTCTTGTAAGTTTTACAAGAAATGTATCAGATTGTGTTACATATTTTTATTGTATTAGAAATAGGCATTTGGCCCGTCTTGTAGATTGATTTGAAATAATCTTTGTTCAGTGTTGTTTAACAAATGCATTGGTGATGGTCACGTATTTCTTGTTAATGACCAAGGGAGTGAATCATACTCCTTCCCTTAATTGATTCTTTGGATATTATATATAATATAAATCGACCACCTAGTGTACATGTCGGTAATTCACATTCTTCGGTGGGTATTCAGAGGTGGGCAGCTCCATGTTTTCCATTATAAGTAATATCGAGGATGGTTGCAGCCTTGCAGGTTCAATGGAAATAGAAGGTTTTTTTTTTTTTTAAAGGAGAAGTTTTCTTTTAGGATTGATTTTATATACATATATTTAAAGCTAGTGCGCTGCTCTGATCCAAAAAAGAAAAAATTAAAATGGGCTGCAACAAATATTCAAAAGGAGTCGGTTTGGGCCTATAAACCAAACTATGTTTTTTTATGCTTGTTTCTTCTAATTTTTAGTTAGGTTCATATAACTATGTATGACTTTACCCAAAACGCAAGCCCAACAGTGTTTTAATTTTATGTGTGAAATCTACACTTATCTATGAATTTTATTTTAGGAATAAAAGGTTATCTGTTCACCCTAGTATATTTTAAATGTGCATTATATCTTTGATTAGTTGTTAAATCAAAGTATCAAGCCATAAAAAAAAAAAAAAAACCAAAGTATATAAAGAACAAATTTAGAAATTGAGGCTTCTTTTGGATTGGCATTGCAATCCCAAACTCAACACTGCACTGTCCAATCCACCGATCAAAGGTTTCAAAACTAAACTATTAATTAGTTGGGGCGTGATTTGCAGTTCGCATCCCAATTAATATTCGAAAATTTAAGGAGATATTTTTTTACATTAATATCATTGGTATGAATCAGTAGGACTTTTTCTTATAATAACAGTGAAAGAATTTAATAGAATGAGAAAAAGGAAAACAGAACAGTTATTTGTGTGCTTACCAGAGGTCTTGCTCTCACTGAATGCTCCTTTACCCTGCAGGGATGAGCTCATGAGCATGAGCTTCAGCGTCTGCTGAATGAGGTACCAACTTGCTTTATAGCCCTGATTGTTTGAAATTGGGAAGCTTCCAACCTTCTCTACATTTGATTACCTTCTACCTTTTGAGGGCCCACCCCTAGGTTTTGCGTGGGTCACTGCCTTTGTTGGTTACATTTTCTCTAATGAGTGAAGTTAAATTTCAGTAATGGGAGTTTGTTAAAAAAAAATTTCAGTAATGAGAGAAATTATGAGGGCTGTGGTCTTACATTAACTGATTATTCACGTGTAATTACTTTTTCAATCATTTTTATTGCTTAGAATGAGCCGAGGGATGGTGTGCTGCTTGCATTTGCAAAGAAGCAAGATTTACCAAATTCTATAGATGCTGCAAAGAGATCACTGATAAGCTTGGTCTGTGCCACTGATAGAAAATTGCTCAGCAGTGAATGTAGAAAACGTTGGTACGTGAGGTTTACCCTAGTCTTTAAAGTTTGGAACATTTAATTTAGAAACAAAATTATATCAAGTGGTATATATGGTCTTCGGCCCTTTCCACTTATGGAGCCTCTTCGCCTCAAATATGTACTGGATTCTGGGCCATTCCTAAAGAAAAAAACCCAAATCCAAACCTAATGCATCAATGTCCATATATATTCGACCCTTTTTCTACGTCAGTCTCTGCCTAACAAAAATAAATAAATAAAATAAAATAAAAAACAGAAGTTGGAACTTGGAAGGTAACAGACTTTGCAAAGTAACAGGTATTTTGTTCAACTTTTTCTTTTTCTTCTTTTCGATTTCCTGTCGAAAAGTTGAGAAGCTTAGACTTCTTCTTCAATTAACTCTTTGTACTTCATACTCTTTCATCTTTATATTGTATACTATACGTATTTTTTTCTCAAGTTTTCTTCTAAATAATGATCAGAATTTTAAATGTCCTTTTTGCTAATTTTGCAGCTCAATACTATCATATAATTCTACTATAGTTTTCTTTTACGTAGGAGATGGAGCAGCTCACATTTGAAAGGCCCCCAAATAAGGTAAATTCATGCCTTCATTCAAAAGACCAAAGTCCCATGAATCATGATGTTGGTAATTTCTTATTTTACTTCTGATGGCATGTGCTTTATTTGAAAAACAATTTGTCAGACAATGTCATGGAGATTTCAACGATAGGACTAGTGCATTGTCGGATGATCTTCTTGTCTGTATTCTTTCTTCTCTGCCACTCAAAGAAGCAGGAAGAACCAGTGTTCTTTCACGGAGATGGCAACATCATTGGCACTTTTCGACTGGTAGTTTTAACTTCGATGCTACAAAGATAATTTGGAATATGAAATTGGAAAGAGATGCTACTTCGATGCCGAAGAAGGAAAGGCATAGGTATATAGAATGGGTTAATCAGGTTCTAGACTTACATCAAGCTTCAACCATAGACGAGTTGAGGGTAGGAATGTAAATGATACATTAGTACTCGCAAGCTATTCAGGTTCGATTCGAAGAAAACTCGAATTTGGTTCGATTATTATCGAATCGAGCTCGAGCTCGAGTAGTTCGACTTATCGATCGAGTCGAATTCGAGTATTCTTATATCCGATTCGAGTAGCTCACGAGCTTAATCGAGCTTTTATATTTAAATATATTTTTATTATTTTAATTAATTAAATATTTCGAGTCCGAATTCGAGTTCGAGCATGAATAATCGAACTCTTGTCGAGTATATGAATCGAGCTTATTTTTACATATTAATCGAGCTTAATCAAGTGAGCTCGAGTAGCTCGAATTCGATCACGAATCGAGCTCGAATTTGAAAAATAAAATTCGATCGAGCTCGAACCGAGTATCGAGCCCCAAGTTGTGAGTCGAGCTCGAGCTCGAGCTTCTCATTATTCGGCTCGACTCAACTCGATTACACCCCTAATTGAGGGTTGCTTTGACTCACACGTTCATTCTAAGCATTATATTGATAAATGGATTGCTTCGCATTCCGGAAGATATGCCTTAGTGACTCTCAAGATATGCCGTAGCATGGACTGGGCAAGCAAAATTACTTTGATTGATTAGTTCTTCCCTTGTCATCAACATACATATATATTTATATTTATATATTGTTTAAAGCAAAGTTATCTGCTGCATGCCATACAAGCTCCCAAAAATTTCCTGAGCTTTGCTGTCTTTGACACTTGACTAACGAAGTTTGGTTAGTTGATGGAAGAAAACCTCCTTGGTTTAACATCTCTAATAGAGGCATCACCTGCCTTGCAAAAATTTAAACTAGAGGTAAATGATTTTGTTGTTTTAAAAATTTTGATTTGAGAGTAACAAGTTCATTTGCATAATATTTAGTTAGGGATTCTATATTTTACCATGTTTAGTTGTTGAGATGGAAGTGATACCTTTTACGCTCAAATATCCAATATTTCTCTGAATTTTGCTGTAAATATATTACTTTGGCTGAAACTGAATATCTTACTTTACCTTATTAAATATCCAATAATTTGTTGAAATATGGGTCATTTTGCATATGTTCTTGTACGTGAGATTTGATTATTAACTTGTATTTCCTTCAGCAGCATGCTAGTTTCATGCAAGCTTATAGTTTACTTTTCTACTTCCATATATATATATATATAATATTGTTATTATCTGTCATTTTGATTTGCTTTCGTATGATTTATTGTCATTTTAATAATTGTTATTTTGTATGTTGCAATGATACGTTTTATTGCTTTCATAGTAATTAATGTGATAATGTTTTCCTTTTGCGATAATGTGCGTTATTTGAATGCGGGAGAAAACGGGAAGTGCAAAAGGTGGAGGAGTATCCAAACAAAAACCTCATGGAGGTGGAAGTAGTCGGATTTTTGGGTGGTAAATCAGATATTGAACTTATTACCTATTATTTGTTGTTTAGAATGTGGTGCATTTTATATTGGATAAAAAGATTTAATTATTGATAAATAAAATTAATTTTTGTATTAATTTTATTCATATTTTAAATAATTATATTTGAACAAAAATAATTATCATATGACAAATAATCATAATTATTTAAATATAAATAAATTATTATTCATAAAAATCATAATTATACGCAAAGTTGTAACCATCTAAATAAAATTTTATATCTGTTCATTCATTATAAATAAAATTTTTAGTATAATTATTTTTATTACTTTTGATCGGAGAGTTTAAGGTTTGGTTGTATCATGAAAATATAATTGCTTTTAAAAAAGTGGTTTTCATGTCTCAAAACTAAAATTCTTTTATATTATTTCTTTCTTTTATTTATTTTTTCTAATAATTTAAAGGTAATTATGAAAAATTTACATTTCACATGAGAAAGACACAAAGAAAAGAAATTGGCATGATTTGGAGATTAAAATTAGAAAAGACTTACGGTATCAAAGGATTAATATTTCTATAGATTATAATGTTGATTTTCATAATGATCTTCATTAAAGGTATATTTTTTAGTTTTTACATAATTGCTGGTAAAAAGATTAATTGAATGAGATAAACATGTTAACGGTTTATTTCATTATTGTGTAAAGTCAAAATAAAATATGCAAAATATTAATTACATTGCATAAGTTTATGTATATACTGAAATTAGCTCCATAATTGAGTTTAATGAATTGTATTATATCTATTTGAAAAATCAATATTTATAAAGATTAATATGGAAAATAGCCTAAAAATATAAAAAAGAAAGACATGAATTGATCTATGACCAAAAGAATGATTACTTGTTATCAAGTAGCGAATTAAATTGGGTTCTAATGAAATGATTGATTGTTTAATTGCTGTCTTAGTTATATAGTGTCATGCTCCAAGATCGAGACATAATACGATCATATTATTTTGAAGTAAAATCCCAAAATAATATAAAGCCTAATCCATAACCATTGAAAAATCTTCAAATAAAATAAGGTTTTCAAGAAGTTTTAACATCTATAAAATAACTAAATAACAAGTCTCCAAATCATCAATGTTGAGTATTACAACTGAAAAAAACTATACTTCATAAAATCTTATTCGCTAAGTAGTTCTCTAATGCTTAGATTCTTTTAGCTTTTTAAAAAACTAATCATATTTGTCATTCATATCATCTGTAAAAGAAAAAAAAAATAAGGATTAAGCAAACTACAGCTCAGCAAGTATATGTTTACACACTTTATCGAATCAAACATTATTTTTATTCATATTATATAGATCATTCAAAACATTCATCAAATCATAATGTTAAAACATTTCAAAGATTATGGTTTTATCAAACATTTTGCAAATTCATAAATTAATGTTAAAACATGTCAATTCATAAAACATTGAAAAATATGCTACCATTTAAATATTTTAATCAAACCAAATCATGGATCATTAATTAAAATCATCATAAATCATTAGTTCATCATTAGCTACGTCACTGTTATAATTTGTGATATTGGCTGTATCAATAATTTCATCATCATGATTATTGTTAACTATTATAACTCATTAGTCAGGGCATAATGCTAACTACTATAACCTTTTAACATGGTCGTATGATCATGGCTATGCTAACTACTATAACCCATTAACCAAGGTTGTAAAATTAGTTCTAGTATCGATGATCCTACTTCTTAGGGATATAAAAATGTAGCTAGCATAAAATTATTTCTTAAACATAAATCATTTTCTCATTTCATTCATAAGCATATTCCATCATTTACATAACAAAAACACAAAATAATCATATGTTTGGTTTTATTTTCATGCATCAAAAATAAGAAATAAAACTTTTATTCATTTAGAAACATACTTATATACATAGATTCGAAAATAAGTAAAGTGTGTAAAATTTTACTTATCTCCTTTCAATTCCACCACTTAGTTTTTTCGTCAAATAATTAATGACCTATTCAAGATCATTTCAACGTATTAGAAATTAATCAAATCTTTTTTAGATCAATTATACAAAAAACAATTAAGTTAAACAAGAATTAACTCAACTAATTAATACTAATAGCCTAAACTTTTTTTACTAAAATAGCCATATCTCAAGATATCCAATTTGGAATTAAGATCTTTTTAATGTATTAGAAACTAGACTCGATAAACTTTCTAAACATATATGGTCCATCTTGTGATTCATTGTAGATTAATTATAATAATATTTTTAATTTACATTATATGCTGCTATTAGATAGCATGTATACATTCTAATAAAAATGACATATTTATTCATAGAAAACTCCAAATTCAATTTTGCTTCTTTTGTTAGAAAGTAGACTCAATAAGCTTTTCAAATCTGTATGGCTTAATCTATAATTCATTGTATAAAAATTAAGAGGAATTTCATAATTTCTCTTTAATACTATTACTAAGCAGCTTACACATCCTTAAGTAAAAATTAAACTACTTTTCATAAAAAACTCAAAATTGACTTCATTGGAAAGTAAATTCAACAAGCTTTCCAATGGTATATAATAATCATAACAATATTTTATCCTTTAATACATAATATTATCTTAATCTACCATTGCAAACATCAAGGTTTATATGAAATAGAAATTTGATAGGGTTAAAAAAGAAAATTTTAACCCTATCAAATTTCTATTTCCTATTTTTATAGCAATAAAATCACATTACTAAACTTTCTTAACACTTTATTAAACTCTGATTAAAGTTTAAATAATTTGTCTAAACCAATCTTGAAGAGTTATAATGGATTTCCTAAAATTTTAGGGTTTCTCGATTACAATTTAAATTAAGACTTAACAATCAACATTATTTCTCTAAACTTGAAAGAAATTATTTACTCACCTTTGAAAGACAACTCTCCTCGTAAATTTTATTCTTACTCATCACTTAAAATTTTTCGACTTGTCTATTTTGTATAAGAAAGAGAGGAAAAATAAGCATTTTTTTTTTTATCTAAATAAGTGGTAGATCCTAACCCTATTAAAAGTTGGGTTATTTATCCACAGATCCTATACATTTTTCATTCTTTATTAAAGAGTTTCTCTATTTATAAAAATACTTAAAATAATCTTTTTTTTTATGGGTATTACATATATGGAGCAGGAAAATTATCTTAGGGTTTCTATGAAAACAATAAAAAATGGGTAAAGGAATTTACCATAAAAAGTTGATGTAAGTAGAAAATATATACAAGAAATAAGATTTGACTACAAAATTAGTTTTATTTTTAAATCATGGCACCAAAATTGAGATAATAAGTTTAAGTCTAGCTATTTGTATGATTCTATCTTTGTTGGCTATTTATAAATCATAGGTTGATATATATTTTTTTAAATTTATTATTGGTTCAAATTTTGACTATTGTTCAATTTTCATAAAAATCAATTAAAATTAAATTAATGTATGTGAATAATTATTATTAAGATATTGTGTTTTGATGGATAATAAATAAAAAAATTATTATTATTAGAAATATGGGTGATGTGATATGTATTTTTTTTGCTGGATGTATTACACTAGAAGTGATTTTACAAAATAAAATTTTATTGTGAATAATCACAAAGTGAAAATTATAAATAACCGTCAAAGAGTTAATTAATAGTTACACAAAAACATTGTTGCTTTTAGCATATGGTATATTGATTAAAAGAAAATGCATGTCATTAAAAAATATTGAAGCATTTGTCGGTAACTAACATTTTGAAAAATGCTCATCAATATCTAATTAGTTATGTTTATAAATTAGAAAAAGAATATGCAAATTTAATGTTCCAAAGGCATTAATACATGCATATATTTAATTACATTTTGTGATGACATTGAGAACATTGGTATAGTTTGTCATATATTACGAAAATGAATTGTATAAGATGAAATTTTCTTTCTTATACATATAAGAAAGATATGGACTATGGAGATAGAATGACATCATCCAATTAATACATTATTGATTAAATACAATGAAGACATTTTTGTACCGAAAAAATGGCTTTTTACAATCTGTTAAAATGAAAAGTGAACAAGTTTTCGAGGTTTTTAATAGTTTTATGACAATGGTAAGGATGTGGCTGGTTATACATCAACTTAACATGTGTTTAGATAATAATTTTGGTTTGTAAAAGCTATAAGCCTTGGAGTTAGCTAATCAATGATTTAACTAATATAAATTCATCACAAGTTTTTGCATAAAATATGAGTAAAACTTATATTATATTTATTGTTTATACTATTTTATGAAAATTATTCTTTGGATTCATGTTTCATGACTTACATTGATATGGTGATTTAAATATGAACATATTGATAAAAAAAATAACTATAAAAGTATATGAAATTAGAGTTAAATATATTATGAACTTTTATTGTACATAAGCATATTAGTCTTATGAGTAAAGTTTGAATTTATTATATATTAAAAAATATTATGACCAATTAAAAGTGATAAATAACAGAGATATATAGGTTGCATAATGGTGAAGAAAAAAAGTTCTTATAAAATTTTGAAATCAAGTTTAGAGATTTCAATAGTCATAAACATAGAATTGGCCATTGGACAATTAATATATGTATTAAAAACTCATGATAACATTTGAGATAGTTTGTTTTCACTAAAAGCCATAACTATAAATGAGATAATTTTAATAGCCAAATTTACATGATTTATAGTTATAATGTGGATTATTATGATTGGCTTAGAATAGCCATAAGTCAAAATTGATGCGACAATCTTGATCATATTGTGATAATTTTTTGTTATATATATGGTCTAATTCATGGATTGTACAAATGATTTATCATCTATGATTTTATATAGTAAAGATTCCAAAGTATATTTATTTTAGAAGCCACGAGTAATTTAAAGATCTTGTGAATATGAAAACTTTTATAATAGCAAAAGAAATGCCACAAATGATTTTGTTTATGATAATAAAAATTATTAGTAGTGTCTATGATAAAATAAATTCATAATAAATATTTATGAATTGACATAAAAAGTTTTAAAAAAAGACTATAGAAATATGATTATGTTTGAAATTTATTTATTGATGTAAACTCTTATATTAAGTTAAAATATAAAAGTTTTAGAACTTTTATAGAAATATTAAGATATTTGCTAGTTATCTTTTATTAAAGGTATATTTGGAGGCCTCTTACTTAAAAAAAAAAAATCACCAAATAGTAAAAAGATAAATGAAATGACAACTTGATTAAGTATATATGATATCTTGACAATTGAATAGGATATTCTTTAATTAAAAAAATGCATACTTACACATGATGGGGGTGATAACAAAAAAAAAAAAATTGCTACCATATTGTTGTAAGATTTTAGTACAATTATATAAGCAAATTATACAAGCTAATAAGTTTAGTACATTTATTAAAGTTAAATCATAAAAAGGTGCTTAAAAATTTTGAAAGGACTAAAATGTTTGGTTTATTCATCAAGTTTATCCAATTGTACTAGAATTGTAATTGTATTAAAGATGTATAAAAGTATAAAAATATAATGATTAAAATTTGTGAGTATGAAGTTGTGGCCACAACCAAAACTAACTATTACTTATAATGATAAGAATGTGACAATAATGTTCCTTACTTCACTTTGTTTGCAAAATGTGAACGTTACGAATAAGCTGCTCAAGTCTTTTCTGTCCAATTGTCCACAACTTGAAAGATTGCATGTGGTGAACTCAAAAACACTTACAAAGCTCAATGTGTCTGGTTCATCACTAAGCTTAAAGCATTTGCATATATCTTTATGTTACAGAATCAAACATATTACGGTTTCTGCACCAAACCTTGTTTCGTTTGAATATTTTGGAATGAAATCGAGATTGCGTCTAAGGTATGCACCCCAACTGCGCAATGTATTTTATGGTTCCCAATATCACCACCGCGTTACATATGGCCTTCACCGGATTTCAAGTTTTCTTTGTCAATTAGTGACTCTGAAGATACGCCTTAGCATGGACTGGGTAAGCAAAATTACCTTGATTAGTTCTTCCCATATATATATATATAGTTTAAATCTAAGTTATCTGCTGTATGCCTTATTGTCGCAGGGCGAATATAAGCTCCCAAAATTTCCAGAGCTTAGCTGTCTTCGACACTTGACTTATGAAGTTTGGGTAGTTGATGGAAAAAACCTCCTTGGTTTAACATCTCTAATAGAGGCATCACCTGCCTTACAAAAATTTAAACTAGAGGTAAAAGATTTTCATGTTTTAAAAATTTTGATTTGAGAGTAACAAGTTCATTTGCATAATATTTAGTGAGGGACTCTATATTTCGTATGTTTAGTTGTTGAGATGGAAGTGATCCCTTTTACGCTCAAATATCCTATATTTCTCTGAAGTTTGCTATAAATATATTACTTTGGCTGAAACTGAATCTCCTACTTTACCTTATTAAATATCCAATAATTTGTTGAAAAATGGGTCATTTTGCATATGTTCTTATAAGTGAGATTTGATTATTAACTTGTGTTTCATTCAGCACCATGCTAGTTTTGTCTAAACTTGTAGTTTACATTTCTGCTTCCATATATATTATGTCATTTTGATTTGCTTTCACATGATGTATTGTCATTTTAATAGTTGTGATTTTGTGTGTTGTAAAGATGAGTTTTATTGCTTATGTTGTAATTAATGTGATTTTGTTTTCCTTTTGAGATAGTGTGTGTTAACTGAAGCAGGGGGGAAAAGGGAAGTGCAAAAGGTGGAGGGGTATCCAAACAAAAACCTCAAGGAGGTGGAAGTAGTTGGATTTTTGGGTGGTACATCAGATACTGAACTTATTATCTACTTGCTCGAAAGTGCATTCAATCTTGAAAAGCTAGTTATTGATCCTTGTCCTTTATCATGGAGGGGAACCCCTTGGGAGTTTGTGGAGACTGAGCAGAAACAAAGGGCTAGAAGGTCTGCTCTTCAATTCAGGAAAACTCAAGCTAATAAAGGATCAGTTGAGTTTGTTATACTCTAACTTCTCTTAATTTACCATTCACTCTGCAGATCATTGCTATATATAAGGATAAAATATATTGTACTTAGTGCCAATGTTTAAGGCACTCAAATTGTCGAGTTTAGCATGTATACATTTGGCTTGGAGGACCAATTTTTCATAGTATTTGGTTTTTATTTTTATAAAATTTATCATACTTATTAATAAATGGAGTAAAACAATTTGTTGGCACCCTTTTGATTTATGTTTCTAGGTTTACTCAAGGAATTTTTTGGAATATTTAACATAGTTTATATTATGTAGGCCATATCAATATTTGATTGGTCCAAGTGAGTACAAATTGTTTCAAAACCATCAATTTGATCAGAACAAGGATTATACAAGCTTCACATTGTAGTTAAATTAAAATTAGCGGTGGAATTCCATACATGCAAGATTCTTTATCAATCGTATATCCTTATGTTTCAAATCTATATTGTAGATTTTGATGCAAATATTGCAAGACTTTTTGCAGTTTGTTTTTATGAAAATGGCTTAAGAAAGAATCCTAAAATAAAAAAGGTTTCACTAGTCAGGATCATTGCCTCGTTGCTTGCCATGCTTGCATTGATATGCCCCTGTAATTTTTTCTATCATCTCCGCATAAATTCCCAAACGTTGGCTTTATTGGATCCTTTATTGAAGGATCAGCAGCATTTTCATGGAGCTGCAAGAAAGTGTTATAGTTCTTCTCAGCTTGATTCACTGTAAGTTGAATTGAGCTGACTGAGAGTAGAGGAAGATCAGCAGAATTCGTGACGGGGGATCACTCATCAAAAGATTCTTACAGAATTCTTGCTTTTGTGTTGGGAAGCATATGGTCATCAGAGTGTCTTGTTTGAACCCGGATGAGAAAGATATCAAGTTGAGAGCCACCGTAAGAGCAAAAGAAATTAATGTAATTTCTGCCAACCCCATTATATGAAATATCAACTTTGAAGACACAAATTTACTAAAGGCCTCAAGCTTATAAGATGAGGGAGAAAAGAATTGGGATAAGGAAAAAAACACAGATCATATCGCAAATGATTCTGCAATTTACACTCATGGAAGGTTTTGAATATATGATTCCTGACCCTACATGCGTTATCGAAAAACAGGATAGGAAGTTGGCCATGTTTTATATCCAAGTTGCAAAGTAAAAGCCTATGAGATAAGCATTCAAGCATGCCAGCTGGAGGCAAGTTTCAACGGGTATTTTCTCCTCACTTTTGCTATAGCATACTCTCTAACAACTTGAAAAAAAAAAAACCGCAAAATGAACCCTCCAAACCAAGTCATACAAAATGCTTCTCCATTACTATGCTAAACTCTAAGAAATTTAGCAACAGCTATAGCAATGCATGATTGGAGTGCAGTTAAAGGGTGATAAATCTTCTTGTGAAAGCAAGTTTGGATAGTTGATAATACTGATTTTAATATCTAAAATTCACACAACCTAACTAATCATATCTGATTAACTATGAATCAAATAAATAATAAATATTTACCTTCAATTTCATTTTATAATGCATTCGATCATATGCTTCCAAATCCTTCATTGTCTGCACTGGAACTGAATGGTGGAAACGAACAAGGATTTTACAACAAACATGGAATCCCTGCTTCAAGGTACAAATTGACATCACATCCCTCTGGTTGTAAACAACAACTTCCAAGTTTCTGACAGCGAAAAGAGCGATTTTCTTGTTGAGTCGTCTTTGATCGTGCACCACGACCCGCTTGATAGAGTTGTAGGCAATTCGTGTCGTTTGGAAATTGACAAATTACTGATGGGATGGATATGCATACGTTGTTAATGAAAGCTGGAAAGACAAGAAAATTTGTTGAGTGTAACTCTAAAGTTAAAAGTAAGTGGTATATATGGTCTTGGCTCTTTTCACTTATGGAGCCTCTTAGCCTCAAATTATGTACTGGACGTCTAGACCTTTTGTAAATAAAAAATTCTGAGCAGTGGCCCAAACCTAATGCATTAGTGTCAACGTGCGTGCACACACATGTATATATATATCCCATTCTCTGCCTATGCGTTTGCAAAGTAACAGTAACAGGTATGTTCATTTTTTTTTCTTTCAAGAATATAGTTTGCTTAAGCAAATAGAGAGGCACAATGGTCTCACTGTTACCTTGTCACTGATATTTGTTAATTGCATAAGTTTAGAAAATATGCGGATGTGATTTTAACAAATCAAAATTTGAAATAGTTGATAGGAATTAAATGTCTAAATCCATACTCAAACAGCAAACATATAAACACTTTAGCAAGTCTAGAGAAAAGTAGACCATGTTTTTAAATTCCCAAGCAACACCATTCAACAACATATATCTACAAAGATGTTGAAGGGTTAGAGTGTCATACCTGGGAAGCTGCAACCCATTTTCCATCAATCCAGTCCTGATGTAGCCTTAACTCAGAGTCATCAAACTTCATTTTCTCCTCGGTATTCTTAAAATAAACTTCATACTTTGAATCAGAAAGAACCTTAGAAATCACACCCACCTACCAGCCATCATTGTACAAAGCATCAACTTCATCAAGCTCTTTGAACCGATCAGCCACAACAACTTCTGCGGGATAAGGCCTAATGTGCAGGGCATCAAACTCTTCCTTTAAGAAATCAGTGTCATCTTCAGTTCTCAAACTCTCATACTGAATTAGGTACCTGTCCTTCCCCACAGCTTTAACAATAGTGGCAGCAAACCAAGCACCTTCAAAACCATCTTCATCACTGGTCACTTCAACATGTTCTCCCTCATTGAACTTTTTATCTGTTGTTATCTTGCCGGACTCCAATTTCTCTCCACTCCCTGCTTTGTCAGACTTTAACTTCTCTTTGCTTGCTGCATTGTCACACTCCAGCTTCTGTTGAGTAACAACTTTGTTCACTTCTTTCTCTGTTTGTACTTTCTGCAGTTAAAATGTGAAAAAGGTGAGGATGCAAACTACACAAGACACTAGAAACTATAACCTAGTAGGGAACAGAAAAGAACTATGTTACAGGGAATCACATCTTTTTGACCCCTGTTTCTCTAATGGTTTGTTTAGGTCTAACATCTTGCTTTTGCCTTCCATTCATTTTACAACTCGTGAAAACTATTCAGATGTATCCCCTTTTCCCAACTTCTTTCCAACCCTCAATCTAGAAACTTGCACAACTAAATATATGCAGAGAGGGAGAGGCCTAACTCCTCTCCTCTCTTTAGCCAATTATGCATCCAGGGCTACTATCTAATAGTATATTTGTCAAAATTTATATTCAGTACGTGATCGATTTAGAACCTCAAACAGACAACCTAATACTTCTATTATCCTTATAACCAAGGAAAGAAACGTATTTAAACAACATAAGACTGAAATAGATATAGAGAATTCACATAACAACACATATAGATTTCTCACGGGATACAATCACTTTTGCTTTTTGTTTGGATATACGAGTTCACATTCTGAGTTGGGACCTCCATTATACAAACAAGTTTCTTTCAAGATCCAAGTTTTTAACCTCGTCAATAGATTTTGTCTAGATTGAAAAGATGTAACCATAACAATGTACTATACTCTTTGATCATCAGGGTCATATCTATTTCGTTGAATATGAAACATTTTGTATGTAGAGTCTCAAAACTGAACTAAAGCTCTTATCAATTGATTTTCCATAGGCACCTCAAGTAGTGAAGCAATATGACCATATTTTTCCTCGAAAGTCATCTTTCTAGAAGTTATTATACGGTACCAGATCTCAACCAACTCAAAGATGTCATTTTGCTGAAGTCCTAACTTGATTTTTTCGGGCAAAATTTCTTGTTCAAATTCTTTCAAACAATCTCTCATTTTACTTTGGACTTCTAATGATAAAGTTATCACCACATTGGTCTCTTCACACATGATAGGCTTTGAAGCTGAGAACATCATGATGGTGTTTTCAAAGCAAGACTGAAAATCTTCTTACTGATATTGACATATTGATAAGCACATCCCATATGCAAGTGTTTATGATAATGCATGATCATGAAACAAAAGGAAAACAAAATAAAATAGGGTTAGGGATTATATTAAAATGAATATTCCCTCATGTATCCTAATTCAGGGTATAATCTATAAAAATGGATTTGTCCTATCTAAGGTTGGTTTCTTAAGTTTCACTACATGTATGGTTTGGTAATTAACATAGGCTAAAAAGGTTCCCAAATTGATCTTTACAGTCGTCCACTCTAGACTAGTAAAGCCTCAAACGGAAAGGGTTTAACTTGAGTGTAAGTATTTCGCTAGCTCAAGCAAAGGCATTATAACCTCACGAAAAAATAGGTACTCTACTCCCTCTTAAAAAGGGATAAATTTGGGAGTCCAAGTATAGAGCTTGTGCATAAATGCAAATGTGTATGTGTGTGAGGGAATGTAATCAATTATTAATAAAATTAACAATATAATTAGCAATAAAATAATAACATATCAAAACCAAACAAAACAAAACAAAATTATTCTGAGATAAGAAATTAAAATTTAATATAAAAAAAACCATAATATAAAAATTTGGATGACGCGTGTTTAATTTTTGGCTTGACTCTCAAGTGTCCCCAGTGAAGTAGCCAAACTATCGTAATGATTTTTTGTCCGGAAGGACTTAATCACTAGACTTGGTGAAAATTTTTGGAGCCGCCACCAATCTTTTTTATAATGTGTGATTAGCCACCCAAAATATTGTCTTTTAGTAAAAATCTTAAAATTAACTAAGAATTACTAAAAGAAGTTTAGGTCTATGAAATCAGGGTTAGATTCGAGAGTACGATTACGAGTGAGAAAGGTATTAGCATCCTCACGTCGCCTGTTTGAAGAACGGTATCAATTAAACATGTGTAATCCTATAATTTTGATAACATGGTCCTTTTTATATTTAAGTTTAATTTCCTAAAATATATTTAAAAACAATTTTCTCTATTATGAAATTAACATTATTATTATTATTATTACGTATTCTATAAATTCTCTAACGCTTTGGTGGAATTTATAAGAAATCACTATTTAAAAAATATTTCAAGAAAATTGACCATTCACAAAATTCTCAAAACTTCGTCATAAGATTTTAATTATTTTTTTTAAAAGGATTTAGTAGCATCCCAATTCTTTGATGAGTTCCCAAAATTTATTAAATAAGTTTTAAGATTATCTCAACTCTTTAGCAAAATCCTAAAAATTTTTAACAAATTTTAAGATTATCTCAATATTGGCAAGATCCTAAATAAAATTATTTTTTATAGTTAAA